TGCAATCTCCACAGGCAAACACTGGCAATAGAATGAATCCAACTGAAGAGCTCAGTGACTTTAAACATAGTTTCATACACAATGTTATAGGATGCCACCTTTGCCACATATCAGTTTGTGACATTTCTGAAGTACTATCTCTGCCCCAGTCAACTGTAAGTGCTATTATTGTGAAATAGTAGAGCCTAGGCGCAACAGCAGCTCATGAAGCAGTAAACCACGCATACACACAGAGCTGGGCCGCCAAGTGCAAGCGCGTAACACGTAAAAACTGCCTGTTGCATCACTTGCTATTGAGTTCTAAACCACAAGCAATATCAGCCCAAGAACTGTGCAGGAGGAGCTTCATGGAATAGGTTTTGGCCCAGCAGCTGCACACAAGCCTAAGAGTCCAGTGGCAACATGTTCTCTGGAGTGATGAATCACACTTCACTATCTGGCAGTGTGATGAATAAATCTTAGTTTGGCAGATGCCACGCAAACGTTACCTACTGAAATGCACAGTGCCAAAAGCAAAGTTTGGTAGAGGAGGGATAATGGTCTAAAGTTGTTTAAGGTTTGGGTCTCTAGGGATAATGGTCTGGAGTTGTTTTTTAAGGTTTGGGTCTCTTAGTTCCCCTGATGGTTAATGTCAATGCTAAAGCATACCAAGACATTTTAGATAATTACATGCTTCCAACTTTGTGACAAGAGATCAGGGAAGACCCCCTCCCTTTCCAGTAAGACTGTGCCCCTGTGCATAAAGCGTGGCTCATAAAGACAACGTTTGATGAGTTTGGTGTTACATAATGATAATTATATACTACAGTATATACTAATAGTCATCATCATCATCATCATCATCATCGTTAACCGCTCAGTCCAGCTAGGGTCGCGGTATATACTAATAGTCATTAAGGTGAACTAGTTAAGCTGGGATTAGCTCACCAAAACATGAAGGACTGAGGCAGACTGTTCCAAAATGGGCTTCATGAACAGGTTTTCACTTACATTCAAAATGAATTGACATAAATGTCTACTACAGTATGAAAGCACGTAACATTTGTTTAAATAGCTGTTCATTTAAGACAAAAAGGCAATGGAGCCAGAGAGAGTTTTACCGTGTTTTCCATGAGACTAAACAGTTAAAGGTTTTACAGCTAAATTTTAAATAACACAGATGGAGCCCAAGGGCATATTTTGTTGTAGATACAATACCAAGTCCATATAGGGTCAGTTTTCCAGACCTAGATTAGATCTAAGCTAGTGGTGATTCATCATTGGCAACTAAATCCATACAAGCCATTAGCAAAGCCATTTCTTAGGGCTGCATCTAGATAACAAACAATTAAAATATCCCTATTCATTGAGTTTGATCAGTGTGAATACGTAATAAAAAATAAACAATGAACATCCCACTACAAGCCCAGTGGGTGTAACTTGAGGATGTGAGGGTCTGGACCTGGAATGACCTGGATCCCTGCTACAGAGGGTAGAAGAGGATAAATAAATGAAAATGTGACCTTCATGTTGTTCCGCTGTATGGCAGGAGGTAGGAAAGTGCTACGTATGCCCTTAAGAAAGGCCATGTGCACCGAATTAGGCCAGCAGGAGGGAAAAGAACACATAAAAATGCACAAGCAGAGAGGGCCGTAGATAAAGGAGAAGATTAAATGCCAGTGGAAAGGACGTAAGGAAGGCAAAGATGAAAAGGGTATTGGGCTGACGACACCTGGCAGTGATGGGGAAAGTGATGCTGGTGCCTGCAGGCATGTGAAAGAGAGAGAGCCTTGATTCAATTTGACCGATTTTCAAGTCCTAGCGTCAGCTGACTCTGGATTCCTTTATATGTCACCATAAACTAAATTCAATTGCTGAAATATTCTACATTTGGAGAATTCATTCTCTGACATATGTTTGCAGGGCCTAGTCTTAAGTTTAGAAGAAATCTATACATACACATCAAACAAATGCTGTATTTGAAAGTGAGTACATACTACACATTCATTCACAAAGCCAGTACATGTTATTCTCCAGCTTACTTGGTATACAGCACTGTACAAAAGCTTTTTGATTTATTTTCATTTATTTAATGTCCAGTTAAAACAAGCTATTCATTTTTCAACATCTGGAATAAAAAAGCAGAAAACATATTTAACAGAAGATTACACAGAGGCCTCAACAACTAAGTATAATTTCAAATTTTAAGTAATTGTGTTCACTTTTGGCCTTATTACTGTTTAAATTCTTCTTCTGAGATTGCTTTCAATTTTTCAAAGAAATCTGAAGGGATTTTTCCACTCCTCCACTTTCCAGTTCAGTCTTGGAAGTTGGTTGCATTTTCTGATTCGCACAATCAAAATAATCTCAAAGTAATCTGGGGTGGTCAGCCTATTGTTCTGAGAACTACCAGCAGCTTAGTTTGATCTGCAAATTCTCTTCTTTTTTGTCTGTTTTCTTTACTCAGTAACAGCTACACATCCTTTCAGACTAGTGTTGTAAGTAAGAGTGGAGCTTGATTTTCTCCTCTCTCTCAAAGATAAAAGCTTTAAGTACTGCTTATCTGATGGTGAGAGTTTTGGTGGTCTGTCAGGTCTTGTATGGTTCTTAGGAGTCCCATTGTCTCTGTATCTTTTAATCATTTTTTTAAACTCCAGTTTTGAAAACTTTTTTTTACTTTCCTTTGACTTTTGCCTTCCTTATGCAAGTGGATTATCTTGTACCTAATCTCCTCAGAAATATCTCCTGAAAAATGAATAACATGTACTTAACGGCTGTTCTGACCAGAAATTAAATGAAGGGTGGTCTCTGACGTTTAAGTGAGTGAGGAACTTTTAAGACAACACCACCACAGCCAGTTGTTAACTTGACCTTGTAACTTGATAATAAATGTCCTGCAAGCTATTAAATTTAGATTTTGGTCTACCTCCTACTGTTCTAGTATTCAAATTGCAATCTAGCTTATGCTAATATGAATCCTGTTAGCAGTTTAATCAAGAACTTTTGTAATGTAACACTTATAATGCAAAAACATTTCAGTACATTTTCATAAGTTTATAACAAAGTATATATATTGTGCTACTAAGAACACTTTCAAAGGTGAATGATCCCATCGGTATCCACAACAGTTAATTATAGGAGTTATATATGCATGTAGTTTGATATTCATACATATTTGATCAATGCTATGGTTTCAAACTTACTTATCTTTCTGGAATGCTACTAATAGACATTAGAGCATGCAATTTTGGTCAAAGCTCATGAGATCACTCAAACTCTTCAAAAACAAGGCCCATTTTGTGTCAGTGCCTCAAAGAATACAGTTAATCAGACAGGGAGTATGGGAGTGAGAAGTATTTAGCAGCTTTAGTAAAGAGTTTGATTCTGGGAAGAGCACGAGAAGACAGGAAGAAGTGTCCTCCGGGGGAGATGGAGCGGGGAAGTCCTCTGATAAAACCAAGAATGAAGAAAGAAAAGAGCACTGTTGTCCATTTAACCACAGCTACTTCTTCATTTAGTTAAAAGGCTGGACTGGCCTGAGCAGATACAGCAGTCAACTTCAATCTTGTCTTGTTTCTTTCAGGGCCTTTTAAGGAGAGGAACTCAGAAGGCCAGACCAAGGATCTAAGAAAAGGCAGCTTAGTGTTTAAGACAAGCAAGACAGAAACCAGGCAGGGAAAAATGAAGATGTGGGTAAAAGTCATTACAGCAGTCAGTGACTGAACACTCAAAGTCATACATTGACCAGCCCACCCTATAGAGGCCAGGCGCTTTATGCAGACGTGAATATCTCAGTGTGCTTCTGGATTAATATGAAGCAGCAATGTCAGTTAAAGCTCTGCAGCGACTCCCTCACTGCTCAAATGAAGATCAAACAGATACTCTCTCTTTAGCTTAATGACTCAATACACCATCAGGACAAATATGATAAAGGCTGACAAAAAACACACAGAGGCTTAGTGTATTGTGTGGTTTGAAAAATTGAAACCCACCTCTGATCCTATTTAGTGCAAAATCACATTTTAAAATCCTTATGGAAGAATTGTGGAGCATTTGTGCATGAAAACAATTGATGCAAGCATCTTATATCAGCAGATGATCAAATTACATGTACTTTTTGAAGAATAATGAACAGTGGCATCCAGCTTTAGTTGAGTTTAGTTGGGTTCTTATTCCTGCACCTTAATTGGTGCAGCTGTTACATTCTGCACAAATTTAACTGCTGCAGCATTTAAGGTGGAATAGAAAAATCTAGCTGGCCACAAAGAAACCAACTTTAAATGGAGCCACTCCAATGGGAGTAATATTAACCATTTTTCTGGGGGACATAATGATAGGGGTTGTTCACTGGTAGTGGCTTTGTAGATGTAAAACTATCATTTCAACATCTGTTTATACCTGCACTGACTTCAACTCAGCGTACAGGTCTGATTTCCATCAGCACTCCTTGGCTACCACAGAAAAACAAAGCCTACTGCGCCATCTAGTGGATCGTACAAGACACTCAATTTTAGAAATCAACATCAGTGAAACTACCCATTTCAATAAAATGCATATTGGATTCTTTTATTTACAAATATAAGGCAGTTAATTTAGAGACAGATACATTGCTATTTCTTCTTAGACACAAATACAAATCAGACTTAAATTTTCTCCCCAAAAATTAAACCTTGTGCATTTTAAAACCAAGAAAAAAGAAAGTGCTTATATCCTGTGCTTACATATATACTTACTAGCTTCTATATAAATATATTAAACCAATCTGTGAGAGAAAAAGCAAGATCAAAAAGATGCCCATGTTCCAAGTTGTAATGCAGAAAGCTTCTGAGAATATATCTCTAAATAATAACATAAAACACTTCCTAGATATCAGTTATCAGTTAAGCTTTGCTACTCAAATCAACCCATTACTAAGATAGACAAGGATATAACTTGAGTATTATGGTGTAGATAACCAGACTCTTAAGATATTTAGTTTAGCTGTGTGGTTAAATTAAATTCAAAAGAAATTCAAGAAAATTACAGGTCCTAAATTCACAAAGACGCATGCAGAACAGAATGACCTAAACAAACATGAATATTAACGTTTATTCCATGACTAATGTAAAAGGTAACAAGTAGTAGGCTGTTGTTAGGGTTAGTATTAGGCTGAGCTTACGGCCTCTTCAGAAGCATCTTCAAGAGATGCCTTCTCTATGATCTCCAGGAATGTGCTGTGATCACTTGGGGATGCCGGGACGGACTGGGAAGAAACAGATTAATGAATGACACATCTCTAAAGGCATAATAGCCATCTTACAGGGCTGCTGGCTTCCTAGTTTGACAAAAACATCACACTACTGAAAAACATTCTGAACCATACATCTCATCATTAAAAGATAGGAATGGAGTAGCCATTCTTATCATAAGCCATTCTTTTTGAAAGAAAGGCCAGGATATGATATAAATTTCATATCAAGCATATTTATTTTATCCTTTCATTTAGTGCTGGTGGTATAAAAAATTACACACCATGTTCTCAATTTTTTAAAACATTTTTCAAATATCATGCTATCAGGTATTAGCAGTAATACAGTTCATGTCCCCATGCTTCGTTACCTGCTATTCTATGATAAAAGAATGTCTTACAAACCTGCTTTGACTGGTCTGATTTGTTCTGCTTCTGTTAAAGTTACACCTTAGCGAATCACAAACTGTAGTGTAAACGTTAACCAGACACCAAATTGACCACATTTAATTTTCACACATCTTGAGATTTTTCCCCCCAAACAATCTGAAACACCTAGGAAATGACAGCTAAGTGCAGTTAAGTAAACTTGTGTTACAGCTACATTTAAAAATCAATGTTGCTTCAGACCCAAAACCGATAATCTATTCTGCATCTTAGTTGATTATCCGAGTTAGTCAAGGGCTCTGCTACATTCTGATTAAAACCAAAGGGCAACCAAGCATCCAAAAGCTCACAGAACATGTTTACAACCTTCTCTGTTGCAATTTTAATAGCTGACTGTCAAATGACTCAACCAATTTCTCACCATCTCACTCACTTTGTTCCAGTTAAACAATGTTGCATGTGTTAAATGCTTTATGTAAATCAGAACTGCATTTCTCTAAATGCATTTCTGTAACAACACTTCACTGCTATGTGGTAAACAGCGTGTTCAGAGAAATACTGTTTGTACCATATAACTATTATCATTAAAATATAACACCAACAGACCAGCTAGTTTTACACAGGGTAATGCAGTAATGTAATTTTTAATAAAGTATTTTGTGACTTATTTGGTTGGATATTCCCAGTACCAATACCAATATGCTGATCGATTCCTGAACCTGTCATACTACATGTGTTGATTTTTCTAAGTGAAAATAAGTTAACAAGTTCTCTTCAAGAAAAACTTAAATGTTTAAGCAAAATTTAGCGAACAATTTCTATTATTTATTAATATGCAAATTATTGAGTTGCACTAATTAAAAAATAAAACTTTCTAAAAAACATATATTTTAATTGAAATAGAAAATGTGCCATAACTTATGTACAGACCACATTTTACACGTTATTTTTTTCCAAATACATTTAATTTAGCAAATACACAGCTCCAAATACAAATCAGACTTAATTGCAGAAGTGTGCTCTCTGTAGAAGTATTAACTTATTTTCACTTAGAAAATGAACAAAACGTCATTTGACCAGGGGCCCACAAACTTGTGCATATGACTGTGTATAATTACTTCCATACCTATCGTAAAAATCTATTTTTACTAAATGACGTACAATTATTTTTCTTTTCCCAAAATAAGTCAGAAAACTCTTTTCCAAGAGTTGAACTCCAAGACTGCTGGATACATTACCAAAAGTTCCTGTCAGGACAATGTTAACATGTTTAAACTGCTAAAACTGACTACTGACACTGTAATGCCACAGAATATTTGATACTCCGTTGTTTTGAACTAATTTAGTTGATACAATAAAGAGTCTTGAATTCTTATACACAGTCCTAATCCCATGGTAATCTGACATCACAGACATGTGTGTAGAAAACCTATCCCAGTAGTACTGAGGATAACTGGAATGAAAAGATGACACTCACCTCGGAGTCTGCTGTAGCAGGTGTCACAGAAGAGCTGTCTGTGTCGGACTCGCACCTGAGCTCTGGACTCAGAGCCTCTGCTGAGGTCACTCCTGCAGCTGACGCACTGAAAGGCCGAAAAAGTACATGGTGAGGCGCAGTACAGTGGAAGACCCAAGCCTGAGATAATCATTTAATAGACCCATGACTCAACCAGAAAGGTTATTCTGTTGGTCAACTACATGTTATATAAAACCTCAAATAAATAAATAAATAAATAAATAAATAAATAAATAAATAAATAAAGTAAGTGCGTGCGTTCAATAAAACTACGGAATACATTATCACCCCTTACACTTCTTGTAGGCTATAGTATACTGCAATCTGTTGGAAGGACTGTGCGAATTGTAAACATAACTAATTGATATTTTTGGCACAATTGTCATTGGTGACAACCTATTTACCACTATTCACTACAGCGATTAATCACTTCTGCCTTAACAAATAAATGTCAATACAATAGAATTAACTTTGAGTGACCATTCTGCTACCCTTGAACCCACACAGACAAAAGCAAACTCCACAAGCAGTAAGCAAGATCAGATAAAATAGACCCTCCACCAAGACCCATATGAATATATAATGCAACCAAATAAACACTGGAAGATCCTCTACTGTGAGAAGATCAAGCCTGAAGCAGGACCAATACGTCTAAAATGTAAATATCTACAACATATCTGCCATTTTGTGAGAGGGGAAAAACACCTGCATCCCAGCAAGAGCCGGCAGCTATCACTGTAAGAATCTAAAAGGTTTGTGCAAGGTTATCAAGAGTCACTCTGAAGAAATAATTAGGCAGTCCAAGGAAATACAGCTTTGTGAACAGCATGACAGGTAATTTACTTCCCCAGGAATAGGCAGGTGAGCAATTGATTTGCTGAAGCTGTTGTGAATCTACAGTAGGGGAGGATTTGACACAGAGGCAACCAAACCACATGCAGCATCTTTGAACTAAAACTGGGTAAATAACAGTTTTTATTAAGTTAATTTATTTTCAGCTGAATTCTGAACCGTTGGCTTCAATGTGGCATGAAACTAAGGCAATGTAAATTGAGCCATTCCATTATCATTGCCTTTGCAGTGTGTATACTGTGGAAAATCATATCACGATGCTGATCATATTTTATTATGCATTGAGAAAACGCTAAAACAAGGAACAGGCCATAAGTCTATTTACTTTCACAAAGACTTCTACTGCTAATTAATACTTTATCATTTCAGCCCATAAAGCAGCATGTGATTTGATGCCTGACCCAACACAAAGTGAACTTCTGTTAGTATTAGGTGATGCGGAACGTGCTGCTCCAGCCAGTCCAGTTGTACGTGACAAGCAGCAGGTCAGAACGTGTCTCAGGAATCAGGTGACCTCCAGGCTCACCTTAAAGCACCCAATGTGAAAGCACAGGTCCAGAGAGTCGATGACCATGGCTGCTCCCTTACCCAGGGGGTGATCGCAGCGCGAGCAAATTCGCCTGCCACTCACCAGCCTACGGGACACGGCAATGGCAGAGTTAGGCTGCACAAGGTTTGCTGTCTGGTCTGACAGCATGGAACGAGGGGGATGAATGAGGGAGCCAAAACGTCCACACGGAAGATTTGGGTTCAAAGCGGTGGTTCTGCTGAATCTTTGTGGAGGACCCCTACTCTGTACATTTTAGTGTTTTCCCTGCTCTCACAAACATTAATTCAGGAACGGGTTACTAATGAGGTGATTAGCTGGATCAGGTGTGTTGGAGCAGTGAAAACACCACTATGTGCAAAGCAGTATACGTTAGGGCCAGCGTTGTGAACCACTGCCTTAATGGAATACTGTACTTCAAACAAAAATGTGACCAGCAGTGACTGAAAACATGTGGAGCAGCTAGGATGAGCTCACTTGCCTTACTGACCCCAGCAGATTTTCCAGGTGCTCGTAATGTTAACACATTAGCAACTTCTTTAAGATAAAGAAAAGTCAGATACATTTAAAAAAGAAAGTGCATTAGTGCATTAGATGTGTTTTGCATACACTATTAGTTTTTTTTTTTTAATTCAGGTTTACCTACACTTGTCTTAAAACAGGAAAATCAACCACATATTGTGATTAGGTCGTACCTGCCATGCTGCTGGGAATTGGGGTGTATATCATCAGCACCAGGTGTGATTGGTGGCGTGGAGGAGGTGGAAGATGGGCGAGACCAGGAGCTCTGTCTTGAAGAGCTGGAGAAAATGGCAGCCCCAGGGCCCAGGCTGCAGCGACCCGAGTAACCTCTGTAAGGTGTGATGTTGCCCAGGGCAGAGTGAGGCCGAGCTGGGTTAGACATTGTGGAGAACTGCTTAGACAAAGAGCTGCTGCTGTGGAGGTTGTCCAGAGAGTCATATCTGTAATTAAAAGGGGGGAGCAAGCATGATTATCAGTGAGGTTAGAGGTTATTCAGAGAGCCAATTTCCTCCATTCATATCAATACTAGAGCTGACCTTAACTAAAGGTTTTCTTAGGTGATCAAATATATGGCTTTCAGCTAAGTCAACTAACCACCCCCACCCCACTACCATTTGGAAAACCCTTTTTAATTAAAAACAAATACAGCATTGAAAGCAACTGGACTACAGAACATGCAAATAGTACTGGACTACAGGATGTCTTAAATAAAAGCCTCCATTTCACTTTACATTACTGAGAACATTTTTATTACACTTTTTAAGTATGGCAGTAATAAAAAACTGGTAATGATAAAAAAGTAATGGTTAAGTAAATTTATGTTTGCAGAGCTTACCAGCAAAGTTCTTGGAATCATCTTTACATTTTACAAATGATCACAAACTAGAGAAAGTTGGCTGCACCTACATGGAGACTTTTTCAATAATTTCTGTGTTGTACCTGTCTTGCTCTTCGGTATGAGTGAGGGGATTGTCCTACAAGGGACATGTTTTAAATTTGATCCTTCTGAATCCATGGTAGAAGTACACTGTTATACTCAGTCAGCTGCTGCAAGGCTTATCAACACAGTCAGAGAGGATTGCATGACTCACGCACACCTTCTCATTGGTGCCACGTTGATGGGCTCTTTGTAGATGGTGCAGGTACTGCGCTGGCGGATCCAGCTGCTGTCAGTGTTGAGCTGAGTTTTCTTCCTCATCTCCTCCAGGATCTGCTGACGCTCCTTTTCTGCCTGAGACAGCCGCCCTCTTCTCTTAACACTCACTGCAGCCAATGAAGAAAGAGAACAGAAGCAATGGACGGGAGATATAACAAGGACTAATTAGGACACATGGGGAAAATATAAACTGTCAAGAACAGTCATACCTCTGGAGTCTTGCTTGTGACTGCTGTCAAGTGCAGGTGTAGATTTGGACTTTTTCCTGTTAAAAACAAGTAATTAGGTAACTTGGTAAAAAACACATTCAAGTGCTTACTGAAATTTCTCATACAGAGACGTTTTATTATGGGGGGAAAAAACTTCAGGGTATACAGTCTGGTAATAAGATGTATACAAACATTTTACATTCAAAGGACTGTTCCAAAGCGCAGAAGCAGACTAACCTGTCCAAGGCTGTAAGCTTGGCAAATCCACAGGACTCACTAGGCCTGACATGCAGCATAGCAGCAATAAGCAGCACACATGTAGAATACAACAGCAGTTATATTTGCAACACAGCAAAACAGATCTCTTATTATAACTAGTAATTTCCTGATTACTGCTTTCATTTTTCATTACAACAATTTTGACAAACTTCATAATGCACATACACAGTGTTAAAAGGTGGAGATACATCAAAATGTTAGTGTTTAGGTGTTTAAAATCTATAGTCCTTATGTTCTTTAATCCAAATGACACTAATTGTTTCTTATTTCCTCTTATTTCCCATGTTATCAAGTTTGACTACAGTGAAAGTATTCCTTATAAATGTCAACAAAAATTGGAATGAAAATGCAGATTTTGCAGTGTCAGTGAGGGTGTCTAAGATAGCTAAGCGTTTTTGCTTGATGACATGGGGTATTTCTGGGTAATATTATTTTTCCCTGCCTGTTGGTGCACAGTCACGTAGTCAAAAATCATGCGACATCTTTGAAGCAGGAAAAAGTCATTATATTTTGATCCAAAATTAGGGGAAAACTAGAATTTTGTCTCTTAAATGGTAAAATATAATTAATTGTGCTTAACATGACCATAGACATGAAATAAGGAAAGAAAGGTGAGATTCAAATCACATCAACAGCAGACCTGCAAAAGCAACAACTTTCATGCTTACAGCACAACTCTAATGTTTAAAGGAACAGATGGTTTCCCCTCTCTCACCGTTGACTAGCCTTTGCGGATGAATCACACTCCTCCTTGGTCTGATGGCTTGTTGCTATTTGCATAGTCACCTGCCTGCTCTGCAGTGGCTTGACCTCTGCAGCCCGCTGATTTGAAAAAGTGGAGGAAGTTGACTGGTAGTGGAAGGGGGGTGGGGTGTAAGGTGTAGTGTTTCCATTTGACAAAGAAGAAGGTCTCTGTTGCCATAGATATGCAAGGTAAGAGGAGGAAATAAAAGAATGAATGAATAAATGAATGAATTACAGTTAATAGAACACATATTTAAAACAATGTTTGCTGCTACCTTGAAACTAACTATTTCAAATGTATTCCTTCCTGAGTTTCATATATATCAACTTATAAAAATATTACACTAAATAAATATGAACATAACAAGAACAAAATATAACAATATAATGCGTTTTGAAAATCTGCAGTGGTCTGCCATAAATATCTGCAAGGCATTTCTAGTTCTAGCATTTTTGGATCTGCACTACAAATGTCTACAGGCCTACAGTGTTAACGTTTTTATCCGTTTCCAAAACAAATGAACTGTGCAAAATATAACTTCTCCATTGTTTCTGACCTAATGGCATTTTGCCAACTTAAATAACTTTTCCAACTAACATTATACACTCTAAAGGACACTGTGCATAAAGTAACATGTTAACTTGAAAAGATCTCAGTTCCATAATTTATTTTTAATTTAAATTACATTAAACATAGGTTTTAATGCAATTATTTTTTGTGCAGATTATGCAAGTATGATGAGCACATGTAACAGGTGCTTAAGTGCCTGTGTACTTTTACAACACTGCACTATAGTAAGACTGTAGTGTGCTGAGCGATATCTAGCTGTCTGACCTCAGGGCCACTGTACTCCTCTCCTGCTGCTTCCAGCTGCGCTCTCCTCCATTCTTCCTCCAGTCTTTCCTGATCACGCTGGTACTTCTCCTGACACACACACAGAGAACAGAATATACTGCAATGCTAGCTAAGAAGCTATATAATAGATCATAATATTTTCTAGGGTTGCGACAACTCTGAATTGTGAATTTATTGATTGGCAACAAATCATGTTATCAATTTATAAGCTTGACTGCATTTTCCTATTTACATCATGTGACTCCATGATATGTGATATGTTTGAAAACGCTGACATGGCACGCATGGTTACTGCAGTTCTACATGTGATTAGCTACTTTAGGCCTGTGACATGGCTGATAACTGGACTGTTAGTGTGTGATCTGTCATATCATATTTCATTGCATGTTATTGACACACAAAAGCTTGCTTCCTCATTAGAGGAAAAGTAGAGGAAAACCCCTTTTCTTGGACTGCCATATAAGATCTGTAAGTGTTGTTCCTTTATTGTTTCTGCACCTTTTAAAAATACAGTTTTCAGAAGCAATGCAGAAAATCTGTTGCTGTGTCTCCAATAGAATATAAATAAGAAGATAGGGTAGGTGTATTTTTTTTTTAAATATAGGAAAAATTTCATATTATTATTCATATTTTTAATCCGCATGAAACAGTATTGCCAAACTAACATCTGCAGGTTTTCGTTTTCCAACTAACTGACTAACTGAAGTCATACTGGACCAACTAATTTTTTATAAAAATAGTCATTTGTTGCAGCCCTACTATTTTTCATTTAAATTCAATTACATTCTACACAGTACTGTGTTTATAGTGCTAGGAAGCCACTAGAAGTTGCTTTTGCTCAGTTAAAACATACAATTCCTGTCAAAACAAAACCTTATATCTCTAAAATGTCTAAAACTTTTTGCTTTGGCTCCTTTTTTAAGGGCAACATCTGAGTGCTGAGTTTAAGTAGTAAGTAAACACAGTAGAAGTTCCAAACTGCACTGTTCGTTCTCCACTACATAGTTTATATATGTAAATTAAGCTGCAAAACAGCCTAAATTCACTGTTTTTGTGATGACAAACAACACATTTACATACATCCACCTATTCTGCCTACAGCAGTTTAGCGCCACCCACTCATGCTGAAATTATAAGGAGTGTTTCAGCCCAGACTGCTTTCTGAATGAGGTACAATACAGGGTAGCCAATCAGAACATAGCTCATTTGCATGTATCAGTCTGAAAGGTACAGTAATAAAACAAAAATCTGCTCAATTCTAGCAGATAAAGAGAGGCTGGAAAATGGTCATGTGACAATAAATGATGACTGTTTTGACACATGAGCCCCAAAAAAAGTTATAAGTTGACCTTAAGCATAAAAAATTAAATAAGAGAAAAATGGACATGAGCCCTTTAATAGAATAAGTAATTCTGGGCCATTTCTACTGGTCCTTTATTAATGAAATTCTAACATAATATAAAGGGTAACTGCCATTTTCAAATTTTGTAATAAATACCAGGTAAAATAGGAGAAGTGTATATATTTGTTACCCTCATTGTATATGAATCTGACAAACAAGGGAAATTAACAAATGTATAACTGTCTGTTTATATGCACACTAATAATACAATCATCTGTCTTCTGCAGTTACCTAATTATCAGTAGTCATGTAAATATTGTACTATAAAATATTTAATTTAAAGCCTTTAAAGACACCTTGATTTTAGCTCAGTAATTGGGTAATTTAGAACATGTATACAGCTAATTTGATACCTTTTTCCCCCACTTACATCTGTTCAGTCAGAACCAGATAAAGAAGAGTTGCCCAGAAACAGTAAACACAATTATAACAACTTAGTCAAAATCTGATTTTCTGCAGTTATCCAATCATCTTGTACATGTAAACATACACCATTCAGCTATTCACGGTAAATGCACTACTTCAGACTAAACAACACCACAGTAGTAAGTACACATTTCAGCATTTCTCTGCCTGTACCTGCAGGAGGCGCTCCTGCTCCATTTGCCATTTTTCCTGTCTCCTCCTCTCCTCCTCTGTGTCCCATGACCATCGCGAGGACGCTGCACTGATGGAAGGAACCTGCAGCTAACAGAGAACAAAAAAGAGGCATTAGGAAATGAATAATTGATGGATATTTTCATTGAATCCAAAGGATGATCATCAGTATCGACTTACATCTGAAATGGCAGACTCTGAGCCTCCTGAGGAAGGGGAGAAAGCAGAAATTATTAAAGTTAAAATAGAATAATGGCTTTCAGCTTATATACCACCCAGCAGTATGAAATAACACCCATGCAGGCATTTCGCAAAACATTAATTCACACGGATTAATGCAAATGTCACACCTCATTAAAAATGACAGATGCCAATTTTTTTACTGTCAAGAGCTTTCATGATTGTCTTAAGATTCTGCAAAAAGCACACAGCACACAGACACAGCACACATAGCCTTCAATTACCACAGAGGTAGACCCAAGAGTCCACTGTGGAACCAGAGGAACCTGGAGAGGTACAAGGTTTGCATCATGATCCTTTAAAACAAACCTAAAGGAGCCATATTGTCTGATTACAAAAGGCTCCTACTGGGTCAAATCTGATTTTCTTCTTCTTATGATTATTTTATTTATTTATTTTTGCTTGAACTTAAGTTTGTGGTGACTAAGAAAGAAGGTTTCCTCCTTCAATTTTTTCAATTTGTATTTTTGCTTATCTGCTAATCTTTAAGAACACTGTTTTGGTGTAACATCCCTGAAAACTAGTTTTCTGCTGCCTATAAAAATAAGAGGTGCCAAAAGCGTTGTCAGAGCAAATGTCATAGAAGAACCACCTTTGCTTCTCTAAAGAACCTTCAAACAGGTTATTCTTTAAAGAACTAGTTTTGTAAAAGTTTGCAAGTGTCAAGAATATTTAATGAAGTTTAAAGAACCTCCATATAATGTAAAGGTTCTAGGGGAAAACTCAAGTTAGAGCATAAATGGGCAGGGCTAAACACCTGGCTGTGATGTCATGAGAACCGACTTCAGTAACATCATTCACCTTTCAGCCTACAACAGTTTAGTCCCACTCCTTTAAATTGAAGTTCTAAGGGGTGTTTCAGGTCTGACTGCTTTTTGAATGAGTGACAATGCAGAGCAGCTAAGCAGAATAGAGCTCATTTATCTTATATCAGTCTTAAAGGCACAGTTACAAAAACAGACTGTTTAACTATGAGGGTTAAAGAGAGGTTGGAAAATGGTCACATAAAAATAAGCAACAACTGCTTTTGGTACATAAAATCACAAAAAAATGTAATAAGTGGACCTCAAAGGAAGAAGTAAATTACAAGAAAAAATTAGGATATGGGCCCTTAACAATGTTTACATATTGCATCAGACTTTTATTTAAAAAGAAAAAGAGAGAAAAATCAGTTTTCAATGATATGGGCCCTTTAAAGAAGCATCCATTGATGGTTTCTTAGGGAACCAAGCGTGGTTCATCAAAAAGCCCTTATGGCACCTTTTTTTTGTTTGTTTTTTTCAAACATGTAGTTGAAGAAGATTTATTTTCAAACAAGTTCTTATGCTAGGCAGCCATGCAAAACTTAGGAACAGATTTATGGTCAATGCTTTTACTCTTAGTGCCATAACTCTGGCAGAAAAAAGTTCCTCTGCTTCAATAGGACTGTAAAGGAGAGTGCTTCCACATAATTATTACATAAAACAAGAAGGGCCCATTTAAGAAAAAAAAAGTGAACATGAATCAGAAAGTCACCCCATCAAAACCACATTCTGCAAATAACCGGATTAACTGAAAGCAGCCAATAACCCACAAAGCACAAGCTAGTTGATGCCTGTAGGGACTGAGTAGCATTTTACCTTTCTGCATGAAAAATTCTAATCTCCTTTTGCGATTATTCATAATTATGCGCTCATATTCTAAACAAATTAAGACAAGAGGGCAACAATAAATATGGGATGCTAAATGAAACTTCTTTTTTCTGTACTGTTGAACTTTCAAACTTTCACTGCATTCCAAATAAGAGCATGAGACCAATGTCACATTTAAAATCAAGGCTCATCTGATGTACCAAATAAGCACAAACACAGTGTTTACCTTTGTTTTTGGTTACAGCCGGAATGTCACGGAAGTTTCTATTTACAGCTTTTGCTGGCAAACCCTGAGTCAAAACCAAGACAGATAGTGTTATTACATGCAAAACACATGCAAACAGCCATATATGCATTCACAAACAAGTTCAGCAGACAAATGTTCCCATTACTCAGCCATTTAAAGAACAGCTCAGCGAAAAATTCTTTGCAGCATACTCACAGTAACAGTATGGCCGTTAACCTTCGCTCCAGTCACCTTATCTGCAGGCAAGTTGGAGCAGCTGCTGACCGTGACGCAGTGCTCAGGATGACCTATAAGTGTTGAATCCATACTGGTCAGATTGATGGTCTTATGGCTTTTAAATGGTAGGGATAGGTGGTCGCTGCCCCAGGCTGAGTTCAGTGTCCGGAACAGAATCAGAGAAAGTGAGTACTGACTACTGATGTTATTTGCTCAAGTCAATTGTACTTTGCTGGGGTTAACTGAATGAAATTAATTAGCCACAGTTTGGGAATAAGATTACAATGAAGTCCAAAAATTAGTATGCAGCTGGACAGCGTTATTGTTGTTAATATAGAGCTTAATATGCCAAACCAGTTTGAACCACCACACAATTTTTTAAGAAATTCAGCAACTGATTTGATAGTAATTCACAATAAGCTAAAATGAACACAAAAGACTTTAACTCTCTTGCTGAAAATCTCAATACCATCAAAGCTGATGCGAGTGAGAAAATACCAGTGCAGTGGAATGAGCCTAACAACAAAAAGCTTGCCAGTAGTCACCCTGCAATTTACTGAATAGCCCATATTCTTAATCTGTTTGCAGGAACTATTTCTGAAGTGAGCCACAACACCAACAGACAGAAGCTTTACATTAGTGTCTCTCTTTCATGGTAATTAATCTGAACAGAGCAGTGGACAAAACACCCAGAGACAGACAGACCACCGTCCCCACCGTGACATAGAAGAAAAAAAAACAAACAAACAAAAAAAAAAACCAAACAAGCCATGGCATCATACTGTGAAACATGCTAGTGGATCAGTGCAAAGCTGAAGATACACATTGTAGTTTGTAAGCATTTCTTGTTGTTTTGACTGTGTACAACTGACAACTGGATATGAAATGAGGGTAAATAGCCACATAGGAATATCAGCAGTTCTTATACAATATTGTTTTTCCTCCCGAAGTGGGGAAACTGATGCTGATACAGACCATTGGCAATACATAAACATGAATAAAATCTAGAAATTGCGTCTAGATCTACTTGAACTACCTAAACATTCTGCTTTTTAGGAGAACAATCAATATATCATTACACGTTTTTGGAAATACTGATCAAATCTAAACATCTGTCTGAAGCCATTCATTTTTTTTTAATTCTCTCTCAATACCAATTTGATTTCTCTATCATTGTGTATCCCAACTATAAAATACAAAATTTTCTGCACGTCCACGTTTATTTTCATTTGCAATGTTCTGGAGAACAAGCCAAAACAACAAACACCACCACTGCTCAATTACTTAGAGTGCACTGTGGCATCACTGATATTACATAAATTTTGTATTTAAATACATCAACTGGCAACACAAGAGACAGCAAAACCATATGAAAGTGGAAGCAGAGTGATGAGTGCACAGTAGCAGCCACAGAAAATGCATATATTTAGGCAGTTACAGAAACCCCACTGAGCTATGATTCCTGTAATGGAAATTAGACTGTACATTTCAAAAATAGCACTGAACTAATTAATAGGAGTACTACTGTATTTTACAGTTCATGATTGTGTGACTTGAGAAACACTGCAGTGTAAATGAGCAGACACGCAAATCATGCCCATACGCTGCCTCACCGTTCTGCCCGTGGCGCCGAATCTCCATCAGCAGGCTGCCCTCTTTCAGTGCAGCATCCATGCTGGCCTTCCACTGCTCATAGCTCATCTCGGCCACACGCTGCCCTCCCACAGCCACGATCTCATCGCCCGCCTGCAGGTGGCACAGCTGAGCCGGGCTGCCTGGGGGCCAGCAAAAAGCACGAAGAGTTAGAGAAGCCAAAATGTTGAAGAATCCACACAGGGCCAATACAGCTCTAACATTAAACTGATGAAACCTAGCAACAAATCTTGCAAAGCTCAAGAATGCTGAAAAAAATTCCACAGAAATCTGTTGCTATAGGGTCCATATATGAAAACCAAGCTGCAAAAACAGCCTGTTTACATTTACACATATTCTGAGCTGCTTTATAAATGAGGCACAATGAAAGGCAGCTAATCAGAACAGAAGTCATTTACACATATCATAGTTAAAGGCACAGTAATAACCAGGTTGCAAAACAAAAAAATAAATAGCTTTTTCATACAGTTTTGTTACATAAATTCACACAAAACATCATAAGAAGAGCTCAGGGGGGAAACAAAAAAAGTGTAGGATATCAAGCCACTAAGTGAAGATTAATAAATTTAGATTAATGTGACCACTTTCAACAAGTTTCATTACAGTGAGACAATATTTAGACCTGCTCTTTAAATTAGGATAGGGTGTTTCAAAACGTAAAATGTTCTCAGAAAAGCTAGATGACTTAAGCTCAAAGTTAGGATAGTCCAAAAGGAAAGTCCCTGGATGTTTCTCCTAGTAGATAGGTTTGACTTTGAATGTGCTTAATGAGAATGTGCTTTGTACCTATATGGGGGAAACAAAAAAAAAATCTAATAATAATGATAATGATATTGATACTGATAACAGGTGCACTTTGTAGTTCTACAATTACAGACTATAGTCCATCTGTTTCTCTGTTATCCCCCTTTTCCCCTGTTCTTCTAAGGTCAGGACCCCACATGACCCCCATAGAGCAAGTATTGTCTGGGAGGTTGATCACTCTCAGCACTGCAGTGACACTAACGTGGTGGTGGTATGTTAGTGTGTGTTGCGCTGGTACAAATGAAGCTTTTAAACACTGTGTCCACTCACTGTCGACTCTTAGACAGACCTACTTTGTTGGTCCACCTTGATGGTCATCCTCTAGACCTTCATCAGTGGTCACAGGACACAGTGCACAGGGTGTTGTTGGCTGGATATGGATGGATTGTCTGGATTGGTTGGTGGACTATTCTCAGTCCAGCAGTGACAATGAGGTGTTGAAAAAAAACTTCAGCAGCACTGCTGTGTCTGATCCACTTGTACAAGCACAACACACACAAAACACACCACCATGTCAGTGTCACTGCAGTGCTGAAATTGACCCACCACTCAAACAATACCTACTCCGTAGTGGTCCTGTGGGGGTCCTGACCATTGAAGAACAGGGTGAAAGAGGTCGATCAAAGTATGCAGAGAAACAGATGGACTACAGTGTGTACCTGTACAAAGTGCACCTACCTGGTAAGTGGAGCCGCTAAAATGGACAATGAGTGAAGATACAAGGTAGCTGTGAGCATAGTTTATTATATTTATATACATATATCAAACAAACTATTAACATAGACTTGATATGATATCTTTCACACATCATAAATCTTCCACCACTTGACATAACCTTCATGTGTGCCTAAACCTAAATCATATACAGTAAACAAGTAAGAGCAGAGTTGGGCTACAGCACGCTAGCTCTAAGTTGAGAACCACACTGCATGAGCTTCATCTCTCCATCAGCATGCATGACTAATCAGACTGATGCACAGTAAGCAACACCTTCACTGGTCACCATCAATCATTCATGCTCGTCTGCATTTGAATACTAAGTCACAAACAGGGAGCACAGTTTAAAGTCTTTTTCCAGACAGGATAACCGGGAGTAGAGGAATTTCTATATTTAAATAAAAGCTAAAAATGAAAGAGAGAGAAATCTCATGGATCGCAGTCTTCAGGATTTCTCTGTCCATATTTACCAAAAAGGAAAAATAACTGGACAAACTCACAAAAACCTCACATTTCACCAGAAGGCCTTTTCAGGTCCTGTCCTTCCTCTCCTTTTTGATTTTTTTTTCTATTATTATTACTGGAAGTTGATGCACCAGAGATAATTTGTAAGCCAGCGCTATGTCTCCCATTAGGTCACATTATAGTTAATGTTGAGCAATAAATAAACAGGACATCATGATAACTACTTAATACATTAACGGTATTGAATTCCACTCAATTATCAGCATGAATGGAGTGCAACAGTCACATTCACGACACTCTGAAGTACAGGGAAACATACACGCCCCAGCTAAAATAATGCAAATAATGAATTTTTCCACAGAAAAACTGTCTGCATAATTTAAATTCTCTTCAAATCAACAGACTCAATCACTCCAACACAGTCATCTCATCTTAAATTGAATAAAACACAGATCATTGCAGGTTTTGTGAAAATAAGATCTATGTAATAAGGCAAGATAAGATCAGCCTAATGTAATAATGAATTGTGTCTCTTACCTGGTTGGACAGATTTGATGCGAGCACCAGTGGAATCCCAATGAGCCTGAAAGCCAAAGTCCCTACCACTGTTAGGCTTCTGATTTAGACTGACTCGCATATCAGTGTGACCCACCTGAGAGTGAGAGAGAGCAAGAGAGAGCGAGAGAGAGAAAGAGCAAGAGACAAACATGCACACGTCACCTGATGCTACTGTGTCACCTGCATCCTGCGAGGAAACCGGAGTAGCCTGACATACTGATGCAGTGCTTTCTGCTCTGAACCCCACAATCACACACCATTTAATCTATGCTTAAGAGACACGAGTAGCAGTCTAAAATTACAGTATAGAGATCTATTTACACTCTATAGTCACCAAAACCCACTCATGCCTTCACATTACTATCAACAACCCACCTATAAAAATAGAGATCTTGCTTCTGACTATAACAATATAACAATACAACATATAGAATTATATTGATTTGTACTATATCATTGTACAGTGACTAGCACTTTAGCTGGCACATTAGTTCAGAACCAACATATTAGCTTGTGGCTAGAGCAGGGATGTCCAAACTGATCCACAGAGGGCCAGTGTGGCTGCAGGTTTTCACTCCAACAAAGCAGGAGTGTTTGATGAAATGAAATGTTTGAAGACTAAGATCTACTGATTAAACACTTAGAATAAGGTGTGCTTCAGCTTATTTAGAGTGAAAAACTGCAGCCACACCAGCTCTTTGCAGATAAGATTGGACACCCCTGGGATAGAGCATTAAATCAGGACACTATATAGCACAACGTTTGCACTTTTATAACGCTAAATGCGCTAATAAATTGAAAAAGTAAAATCTTGTGAATAGGCATACGCCTTCTCAATACTGTTGTTTTATTACTTTTATATTATCCAAAAGTCGTTTTCTGTACGGTTCCCACTATCCAAATTGGTCCATTGTTAGCCTCATAGCTACAGTGCAAAACTAAAGAAGCATACTTCAGACACCAAACATTACTTGTCAATTTACAATTGCCGCTACCCCTCATCTACAGTGAGTAAATACCCAAGTACCCCAATTAGTGCTTATCTGAGAGCAGTGATCGAACTGGTTTACATGACCAGGGGTAGAGTGATATTAGTTAGCTATGCTATGCTAACACAAAGAACCTCTGATACATCAAACCCAAGTTCTTAAGGTATACTACAATTACATCTCAATTATATCAGGGTTATATTATATTAATCCATACAAAATGGAAAGAACGGAAGGGCACTTTAGCAGGGAAATGATAGTCGTGTGTCTCCATGGCCCCCAAATCAAGACCTTCCTGAGACAAACACCCCCTTACCTTTGCCTCTTCGCTCTCAGATGTGGCCCTCTGTTTTAGAGAGGAGGCCACCATGCTAGCAGACATGAAGGAGTGCACTTTAGGAGCTGAGTGATTCTTCTCTTCTATGTCTTCATTTTCTTTTTCCTTCTTCCTGTGGCTGTCGTTTTGGGTATTGGAGCAAGTCGTCCCCTCGTTAGCTGGGGTTGTGACCTTGTCTTGGCAGGTAAAAGATGCAGGGAGCTGAGGTCGCTCTCGTTGACCTTTGATGAGGCTATTATGGGAGTCGTCCATCTGCAGAAAGGTTAGCAGACACTTCAAAAACCTTCTTTAAAGGAATTTAAAAAAGAACTTTTAATTAGTCTTTAGGCAAAAACGTTTTTAACCTTTTATTTTCCTGCAGGAGTTTAGGCTGTTTTTAAAAAACTTAATGTCCTCATGGAAATATAAACACACGTCCAAAAAGTTGGAGCAATAGGTAAAATGTAAATAAATATAGAAGGCAGCGATATCTACTGATTTATTTATAAATGTATAAATCTACTTTGTATTTTAACAAAAGACAACAAAAACAAAGACAAGATATTTAATGTTTTACTATATCAACTTAATTGTTTTTGTAATCTTATGCACATTCTGAAATTGATGCCTGGAACACATTCCAAAAATGTTGGGACAGGGGCTTTTTAAGACCAGAAACAGCATCCAAAAAAACAACAACCAAAAAAAGTTTAAAAATAACATCTTAACCAGGGATTGCAAGAAATGAAATGTTGATGAACACTGTTTGACTGTACTATGCAGTCCTATGCCCATGCTTCTTCCAACAAGACAACACCAAGCCACATTCGGCAAGTGTTACAACAGCAATGCTGCGTAAAGAGAGTTCTAGATTGGCCTGCCTGTCTCCGAATGAAAACATACGTCACATTATTAAGCTCAAAATACAACGAAGGCCCTTACGCAGCTGAAACTTGTGTAACTGAAGAATGGCAAAAAAAAAAATCAGCTTTCAAAACTAGATCAATTGGTTTCTTCAGTCTTTAAATAATTATTAAGTGCTGTTAAAAGTAAAGATGATACAATACAGTGGCAAACTTGCTCCTGTTCCAACTTTTATTGGAATAAGCTACAGGCACCAAATTTGGAATGAATGTATATTTACATAAAAAACAATGAAGTCCATAAAGTAAAATATAAAATATTTTGTTCTTGAACCATTTTCAATTTAACACAGGTCAAACTGAATTTACTAAACGCTGCTTTTATTACCATTTCACAACTTTTTTGGAACTTGTTTTTTGCCTAGTGTCCAGAACTGCAACTCTTTGGCTGCTAGGCATTAGCAGCCAAAGAGTTGGTCCAAACAGAGAGAGGGCACTAGAACGGAAGCTTGGGTTTCATTATGTGCAGGAGAATGAAGTGGCACGGCAGCCGTGTTCTATTATTCATATGTGATTCGCAAGACGATCAGGCAGAGAGGAGTAACACTAAACTTCACAGGCAGAACACTGTGCGCACACATACTAAAAAAGCTCTTTAAAAGAAGGACGTACACACACTCAGCTCTTCCTTGACAAAACAGATAAAATTAAGGGGAGTCATCACTGGGAACTCCAAAAACCTGTTGTTTTATTGTTGTTTTTTCAATGGTTCAGCAACCTTTTAAATACTGTTCAATGACCTGTTAAGTATTGCCAGGCAAATAACTTGTGGTTGAGGGTGTGTAGTACTAAATCAAGAGCTAAATCAACAAAAACACAGATCTCCAAAACAGTCATATATTATCAGAATGAAGATGAAGTAAGAAAACCTAAGACAAAGCAGACACATTGGTTGCAGTCTAGAATTAACCGCCAACATGAAGACCAGCCTCTGGTAAACAACGGTGAGGAAAGAAAGCAGCACCCACGTGGCAGTCAATCTAAATCCTGTATTGTCTTGATGAGGAACTTACAGCAGATATGGACCACCATTAAAACTTTTAGAACCGTAACATATAGCTATATGTATAACAATGCAACATCATGCTTTGATCTGACAGTAGTGAGCAATGCATTGAATTTGGAATGTCAGAAGGCAAAAAAGTATTGTTTCATCTATACTCAACTACTGTGTAAGATATCTGTGTATTCAGTGCACTATTTTATCTATAATTGTATAAAAATAATCAAACTAAATAAAAGAAGGATTAGGGATTCAAGTGGAAATGTTAAAGAGCTGTAATCAAACAGTAATCAAGTAGAACTATAAATGAATAATAGACGTCAAGACGCAAGCATGCACAAAAACCATGGAAAGACTTGAAAATGCACCAACTGATTAGTACTTACAGAATAGATCCTGGGCAGAGAGGACACCCTGGAGGCCTTGGTCCCAAAAGGTCTTGGTGTGACTCCCATGGAAAGTCGGGAGCTTCCCTCTGACCTCCGAAAGCCCCTGGGCAGGGTGGCAGACATCCGCGTTCCCCCAGAAAACACACCTTCCACGGATTTAGCACGCTGGACAGGTTCTGAACCCTGCTGGCTGAGCTCAGTGCCAGATGACCTCAAAGTGGGTGATAAGGGTTCCAAAAGGTTAGTGGAATCTGGTGGGCTGAAAAAGACAGATGTAGTCACTTGGGTCTGGTCAGTCACCAGTGAGTCACCTCCAATTGCACCATTGGTAAGAGAACAAGCTCCATTTGTAGGAGGTGCCACATGTGTAGGAAGTGGGTCCACTAGTGTTGTACCAACAGCATCAGACCCAGCTGAACTCATGGGCCCAGGCATGCTACAACTTGTGGTTAGAGGAGAGGCTTCAGAAGGTGAAAAGGCTTCGTCTGAAGCCAGTGAACCCAGTTGGGGGACCTCCCTCAGTCCTGAAGGCTGGGAAGAAGGAAGAGCTCTGCTGGAGGGCTGCTGGGAAGAGGAGGGCTCCTGAGGTCTAACTTGATGCTGCTGGCATGTGGCTAACACCAGGACACTGTTGTGATCACTACAATGGAAGTAAAATGAGAGAAAGAAAAAAGAGAACAGGTGGGACTATCAAATATCACACACACATCCCAAAACAAAAGTGTAGCACAGACACATTTAAAACCCTCACACCCAGTCCTGTCACTGGTTCCCAACCCTGACCCTGCAGTACCACTGTTCTGCACATTTCAGTGTTTTCTCATCTCTAATGCACACACATACACTTTAACTAAGGAAGGGTTTGTTAATTATCTAATTAGTTGGATCAAGTGTGGCAGAGCAAGGAAAATAAAAACAACTCCAGGACCAGGACTGAAAACAGCTTAAAGGGGAACATAAAAATATTATCATATAAATACTGTGTGCGTTTTTATGTACACGCATTACCCCTCCTCCTGCACCCCTCTGCGCACAGCAGTCCTCAAACCATCAGCACCTCCCCCGCTAGAGAAGAGCTCAAGTTGCTCTCTCTCCTCTTTCTTCTTCCACAAGTCAGAGTTTGCACTTAGTCTGCGGCTCTTCCACCTGTCCAGGTCCTACGTCAACCAAGAGTGAACATGAGTGAGAGAATGAAGACATGAGCTGAAGGACTCGTTAAGTTAACGAGTTAACGGAACAAATGGACAATCAATAAACAAATTTAGTGAATTAATTATAAAACACTAAATTAATGAATGTGATCAGAAGAGATGTGTTGGATGTGTTATTCAGATAATCAAAACATTACCCACCACCTGATGCACATTACACACCTTGTAAAAACTGCCTAAGACCAATGTGAAAGGAACAGGGAGACCAAAGTGTACATTTCACAACCAATGCATGAAAATACTATAGCGAAACAATACAGTTTGTTAATCATTACCATAATATTGGGATTTACTCTTTTCCTTTTAATATATTTCAAGATCTATCATAACCAAATGATGCTCCAATATAATCACAATACTGCTTTTTTCCATATTGTGCAGACTTAAATGTTTTAACATCATGCAAGTTGGTGTCTACTAGATTCCATTGATCAAGTCATCACTTTAAGATGCCTTTATGATGCAGTAAAAAGTACAGTCCTTCCATTATAGCTCACTGATACCCCTTATGGCAAGTGCACAGAACCGGAAGATAAAGTGCCATATGGATGCTGCTGTGCCCCTCATTAGATGAGCCCAATACAAAAAGCTCTAAATATGTTAAAACTCCCCCCTACCAACCCAAAGACTTATTTTTGAATCCCAAATTTGTCTGGGTGTTAGATTTTGAATTTTTTGGCTCACTTAGACTTTAGAACAACTTATTTTTTATATATGTTAATTAGACGACATTTGGTCTCAGCAAGGATGCTATATTAATTCTAATAGCCTCATTATTCATTTGGAGGTCTACCATTTGCCCATGCATCACAGCTCCTGATCTACAGTCAACCCACATTCAATGGTGAATCATCTGGATATGTGGCTCTCAAACCAGTCCAGATGATCCATCCACACACACTGCAAGTTGGATTGGGGCAAATATAGGGATCGTCTGGGAGGACCCTGATAACTGGTTTGAGATCTATAGGATTTGACTCCACACACAAATACAATGTCTTTGTTAGAAGAGTATAAAACTTATGCTTCTTTCTCAATCACCAATGACATTCGGCTCTGTAAGCCTAAGATGTAAACTGTTCCCTTCTGGTGGAACAGTTCCTGAGAAACTGCGACCTAATACTGGGTGACCAGTTTTCTTTCCCAGGAGACTACAGCAGTACACAATTGCTCAAAACACCTGGTTTCAACCGAAGGCCTTGTTAACTACATGATATTGGGCATTTACGAAGCAGGGCAGCCATGCCGTGCAGTGGAGTGCCCCCACTCCCAATGACAGGGGCTATATAAAATTATTTTGGGTAGCAGTGCAGCACTCACATCTTGCCACCTGGCCTCGCTGTCCTTCACTCTGGTCTTAATGTGTTGTATGTGCTTCGGCCGCACCTGATCTATGGCTGAGGGTTCCAGCATCACCTCTCCAGCTTTACTCTGGCATCTTCGGTCAAAAGGCATGCTGCTTTCAGACTCCTGTGGTATGGGCTCTAAGGCAATGTCACTCATGGACTTGCTCCTGTTAGGTTAAGAAAATGAACCACCTATATAATGAAATGAATTGTGATAACAGTTGTATCAATTCACTCAGATATAACATTAAAAAAAAACAAAGCCTGTGGTTTGCAAATTCTTTTTATTACAGGTTTACCTTATAATGTGCACATTCATATGCAGTCAAAGGAAGCTTTAGACTGTACACGTGCAAACAAAAGCAACAAAAGTTTACATAAGTCAGACAAATTAAGCAAGGGGCAAAGACGGGTAAGCAGACAGAAAAACACTAAAAACCATCATCAAAACTACTCTTGGTATTTGCTTAAATAATGCTCAAAGAAGAACATCACTTCCATGCAAATCCAATGATTGTTGGAACAGTCGAAGAGCAATGAAAACATGGCAAGCAGACATTACAGCAAAACAACAGCACTTTAAGCTAGGTGGAGTGAACATAAAATTTACATCCCACCCAATATTAATTAGAAAAGACAACACCCCCTTGAGCAAACCGAAAGCCTGCAACAAAATAAAAAAGCAGACCCTGCACAAACAACAGCAATTTGCTAATCAATATACACAGCAGGTGAATAAAGCAACCACTGAACAATCGCAAGCAGAAAAGCCGTACATGCTCACTCACCCAACACGGCGAGAACGTCTCTTGGGCACTCTAGGAAATCAGGAAGACAATGACAAATCGAAACCTGGTCACTCTCAATTTGAGTAGATGGTTTTGAAATGTACCACAATTACTCAATTGGTATACTTGCATCAGAAGAAACTGATGTGTTTGTTTACCAAAATGTAAAATGTACCTTTTTTTCCAATCCAGAGGGCCAAGTGTGAAGTCTGTTTCTACTATGCATTCTAATTTGTACTTTTATATTTTAAAGATTTTATACAATCAGATAACATTCCATACGAAGACAAAAAGGAATATTACGAAAATCAACTTCAAACTGTTCAAAGAGTAGCAGTACAAAACTTCAGCATGAACTATTTAATTAAATACTATGTAGCTTAAAGGTGATCTGTAACTACATTCACAAGCATAGGACAGTAGGCCTCCCTGCTCCCACCTGAGCAAGATTATCAGAGAGAAACTGGTCCAAAATATTATCACACAAACAATGCACACTCAGTGTTTATTTATTTTTTAATTTTATTGGGCCATGGCAGTAAGCCTCAAAATCAGTAAAGTTTAACTTGCTAACAGCAACCTCATTATTCTAAGGCTGATATCATAACTATAATGAAGGGGACAAAGACGCATGTCTAGACAAACTACTGTCCAGTCAACTCTAGAATTGAATTTTCCGTTGTAGCCTTTGGGACCTCAGCATAGTTTTGCTCCTTCCCGGCAAACCTGAACCAAGCAATCAACGACTGTTAACGCCTCATACAGCTGTCCAGCCAATAGCTGAGAAAGAGCAACGTGGACTGTACTGGGAAACCCTGATTGTGTAAATCTCAGAAACAAAAATTGCACAACAGCAGCAGATATATTAGCAGAAATTTTTTATTATCAGTCCAATATTGCTTTATTATTTGCTTGCTTCTTCTAAACTCACACAAATGGACAGAAACCAAAGTTCAATTTCCCATCCAACATCATTGCTATACAATTAGTGGTAGAATGGGGCATTAAAAGAGGTCAGTGTGGAGCAAAGTTTAAGCAAAACTTGCAAAGTAATATAAAATATTTCATAAGTCCATCTTTAGGAGTTTTAACCTGTTTTACATTTAGTGTATTTCATACTTGGACTTTAGACCTAAAAAATAATACTAAAAATGCAGTTATTGATAACAATCAGCCATAATAAGGCATTATCAGCTACCCTATCAGCCAAGAAATTCCATATCGGTGACATTGAAATCCCCATTCAATCCATTCCTGTGGTCTAGATTTGAACTCCATCCATATGATCTATATTGAGTTGCAGGCAATACATCAAAGTAAGTTTTCATAAAAATCCAGTAAAACACTAAAAAATTCAACTGGAAGGGATTTAACTATGATCACACTGTAGTCAAAATGCTGCTGCTAACTGTCTCTTCTCCTTCAGGACCTGGAGCTCTCCAGATTTCTCCATGTAGTATAACAGTCAGTTTTAAAATCGTCCAGGTTTCCGCTGGTCAAAGTCTCTATGCTTTTTGGTATTTTAAGCTTGCTCCAGTCTAGGAAACAGTAGACATTGCAGATGTAGGCTCCAACCTTACATGTTTTTAGCCAAAGTAATGTTCACTGAGCAGCTTAGGACAAGTTGAAACAAGAAGACACATCAAAATGGAAGCACTTCTTGCACACTGAGGTGGCTACTACCTATACAGTGGCAAGCAAAGGTTTGGGCACCCTGGTCAAGATTTGTTACTGTTAATAAGCAAGTATTAGATGAAATATCTCCAAAAGGCATACTGTTAAAGATGAAACAATCTTTTCAACATTTTAAGGAAGTGTATAATTTTTGTTGTGTACAATTTTAGAGTGAAAAAAGGAAAGAAGCACAATGCAAAAGTTTGGCCATCCTACGAGATTTGAGGTCTCTAAAAACGTTTACTTAAGACCTTAGACCTTAATCATCTCGTTAGGGCCACGGCTTGTTCACAATCATCATCAGGAAAGGCCAGGTGATACACATTTCAAAGCTTTGTAAACACTCCTCAAACCTTCTCCCAACAATCAGCAGTCATGGGCTTTTCTAAACAGCTGCCTAACACTCTGAAAATGGGTGCCTGCAAAGCAGAAGAAGACTGTAAGAATGTGGCAAAACCTTCGGAAGATTTAGCAGACTCTGGAGTGGTGGTGCACTTGTTTACTGTTCAGCAATACCTGCACAAATATGACCTTCATGGAAGAGTCATCGGAAGAAAACCTTTGTAACCTTGTTAAAAAAAATTTCAGCAAAGGAACATCAAAACAACAACAACAACAACAACAACAACAACCACAACAACAACAACAACCACAACAACAACAACAACTGTAATAGATGGAAATTTAAAAGTAATCTTGCTTAAAATATTAAAGAAATGTGTCATCTTTAACTTCATGCATTTTGGAAATAAGGTCATCTTTTACTCGCTTTGCTATTCACAGTACCAGATTCTGCCCAGGGGTGCCCAAACTTTCGCATGCCACTTTATACACTAATGTACTAAAATATGCAATAGCAACATACTGTAAAGTAAATGTTTTCCTTGTTCTTAATACACATGTCTTTTAAGTGTTCTAATACCTTATTTATTAAAGCTGTTCTATCTATTTTGAACAAACAAAACTTGCGTTTGTTAGCTTTACTGTATATGGCTTAGATCTTGCCTAAGGCAGAGGTTCCTATCTTAGTCCTGAAGGTTACCTAGCAAGTCCATTTTTTTGGTTCTGCTTTAGCCTCCCAACAACTTTAACCAGGCATGAGTTAGCTTAGGTGTGTTTGGCTCTGTATTACAAGAAAATCTAGACTAAGGCACTAAAAGGAAGGAAGAAAGGGTGAAGAGAAGTGCTCGAAGTGCCTCAAGGAGTGCCTCAAAAAGTGTGTGGAGGTTTGGAAGCAGGTGCGAAATTGCGAGCACGAGCACCAAGCCAGGGAGTGACATCATAGTCAGAGTCTTCCTCAGACGAGCCAGACGTCTTTCGGCTAAAGCCAGGAAAGAGAGGAAGAGAGAGAGAAGGCAATGGAATAGGAGAAAGAAGAATTTACGAGGTCAAAGAAAGGTCAAAAAGACTACACTGGGGTACCCAACTCTGGTCCTGGAAAGCCGAAGTCCAGCACTAAAGCTTAAAATACTTGTCCAAGACCCAATTACTAATTTCACAACCATTCGGTGGGAATAATTCAGGTTCAAATTTTCCATGGGTTTCTCAAAGCATGTCTCTCAGATTTTGGCCTTTTCACCTGCTTTAGTTTTTTTTCCCCAACTTTTTTCTTTTTATTACACACAGAATTGTGTAATCACTGATTAATAACTGAAATGTAACTGTTCGACCACATAATATTACAGCTATTAGAGATACAGAATCCAGGATACCATATTCAAGACCTGTCCCATAGAGGAACCATTTTTTGTTTTCTGGAAAACCTGGTGGAGCGGTTTTATAAACAAGATGTGTGTGCATGTTGTTGCAGGTCCACGAGGTCCACCTTATTTGATTCATCCAGACTAAACATTTTTGTGACGTGAAAGCACTAATTGATCAATTGATTGATTATCTATAGATACATTTGTTTAAGTGCAATGTTTATCTCATTCTTGAAAGTGGACAATTAGGCTTCTCATTTTTTATCTGTTTACTGACGGTCTGATGAAGGTTTGGAGAGAATTTTGTCAAAACTTGGTGCTGTGGGTTGAGTCAGACTCGGATAAAATTTTGGCAGTCTATGTTCAAGTTAGGATCAAAATTACAGGCACAATTAAAGCTCTATCCAGCACAGTTTGGAGAATTCAGACTCAATTCAGTTTTTCTGTTAATTACCAGGTTTAGTAGGCACAAAAGCAGAACAATCAGACAACTGGCCTGAATTGGACCCAAAGTGGGTACCCCTGGAGCAGACACTAGAAGTAAATCCAATCAGGCAATAAAAATAATTCCTCCATATAAAAATGTGTATATAAAAAGAAAGCATATTGTTGCTTTCCTTTCTTTTCACCATTTGAAAAGATATGCCACCCTTAACATTGCATGAAAATTGTATTTCGCATTACAAATTTTACGAATCACCACACTCTAGCCGTAACTTTAAAGCAATTCAAGTTGCTCAGTCAGGTGGCTCCACCATTCTGTCATTTGGACCAACCTGAAGCCCTGCATCTTCCTGTACCAGGGTCTGCGCTGGGAGCCTAGTCTAATCTGTCCCACGTGAGCATCTTCCTCAGGTGTCCAGAACTTGGGCAGGAATTTGTCCGAGTCCATGTTGACTGAGGTCTGATGGGTGGCCTGAAGCACTCTACGAGCATAGAGGTCATCCTGAACCGGGTCGGCGTAGCCTTGGCCCTCATCTGATTCGGCAGAATCTTCGGTCATTGCTCGCAGCAAAAACTCATTCTCCAGCGCGGCCTTCTCGTCTCGTCCACTTACTCTGTAAGGTGGAAGTGATGTTTTGCCGTCCTGGAGAGAACTGTCCACGCGAGACGCAAACATTTCCTTTAAACACGCAGCAACAACAGATCAGAGAAAATTCAGGCGCTCATGTACTGGGTTAGGTACCAAAAACATTAGCCACTTCTTACACAGCTAAAAGGTTAGTGGAACAGTATTAATACTGTCAGTGCAGATGAAAGACCAAGACGTAGATTAGTGCATTCAGAGTCAGCCAAATTCATTATATTTGCCAAAAGCAATCCCCCAAGAATGACTGGAAAGGAGGGAATGTGTTGTTCAATTTTAAACAGCTCTTTAAATTATGCTCTTGACAAATAAAAGCACAAGCAACACATTATCAAGTTTCTCTGATGGGTAGAGGAGCACTACTGCCCAAAAGGAACAGCAGCAACATATTTGCAGAAGCACAAGTGTTAGGATGCCATGACAGAACAAGCCACTCCAAACTCTGACCTCTGGTGTGACCTTTTGTGAGGCACTGTAGCCAACTGTGAGGCATCACAGACGGTGACCCATGACCTCTGAGCACACGGGGTCACTGTGGGAAACAGCCTGGGAGTCCTTGGGTTCAGAGGAATAGCAAAGTTCACGGGAGCAACGCAGGTCGTCGAGCGAAAACGCCGACTTGCGAGGTCGTCCTGCACGATGTCAGGTTCTGGTCGGTCAGAGTCAGAATCAGAGTCACTCTGGTAAGAATGTGCCCGTTGGTGGAAGGCAGAAGCAGGAGGGAGTTCAAGACAGGGTTCATTAAAGTCCCTTCCACCTTCGCTACAGCCAAGAGACGGGGAGCAAGTAAGAATGCCAAGGATATATCGGGATTACTTGTGCATACAAATAATTGAAATATTTCAGATATTCACGTCTCTTTAGAAAAACACCAAGAATTATATCAATATTCAGTATGAAAATTGCAAGAGGTGTAATTTTAATTACCAAACTTACCACCATTTTAAGTTATCAAATTTAACCTTATTACATGGAGCTTGTGAACTGCCTGTAGAGGAGTTAGACCAATCACAAGCAGCCAACATGATGCGTACATGATAATCAGAAGCAACCAAAACCAACATGATAACAATACAACCACAGCTAACTGGCCATCTTGCTAATCGGAAAAAAAAAAAAATAATTCAACGGAAAAAAATGAATAATCTAGTGAACAAGATGTCAAGTAAATACTATACATCTGAAGTGCTTTTTTAAAGCATTTACACTGTAATAATCATGATTCAAAACACCAGGGCTGATAGTGGTATATTTAAAGAAAAATATATACATACACACCACTAGTAGCCCTCTTCTGAGCATAACCAAAGCAGCAGTACCTGGGGAGCTGGCTAGCGTGACTTCTTCCACTGTCTTGGCACTGGTCGCCTCGTTTCCTCCTCAGAGCGATGGGAATATTTGCTCTCTCTCTACTGGGTGCAGAGTGGGTTTCACTCCTGCTGCCCTCAGACATCCTGAAGCAGTGCTCTGCTTCTGCGTCACTTCCAAATCCTGAAACAGAGAAGAGAAAAGATGAGAGGTGAAAAAAATAAAGGGAAGATGGAATTTATGTAATGTAATGAAGTCAAGAAAAGGCTCAGACCCTGGTCCCCAGACCACAGTGGGTCTATGATTGTTGTGCAATATCAGCCATGTAGACTGTCCAGGCTACACACCTATGTTTGCTCGCTGGGCTGCGCATTACCAAACACATGTGGAACGAGCTGGTATTTCACACTTACATGAGCAGTGAGAGTGATGCAATGAGCATGAGGTGTCGAATTTTCATTAACGCATGTTTGATGGTCACAACATTTCAGAAGGAAAGCCAAGCAGGAGAGCAAGTTTAATAGGTCTGAAGTATGTTTGATCCAATCAGGGTGATTAGATACCAAATTATTAAATAAATGAATAAGTAAATAGGGGGGGGGGGATTTAAGAAGGTAGATAATATGCACGAGTTCTTAAACTGCATTTCACAGACTCTCCCACTAGGGGACAGTACCTACACAAAAAAATTAATTAATTAAACGCACAGCAATACCCTTTCTTTCAGCAAGAAACTATACAGGTTCCTTAAAAATGAATCCACAAATTATACTAATGGCTTGTTTTTAGTTTTTCAAAGAAATCTGCAGGGACATTTTTCCACACCTCCAAATTTCCGTCTTAAAAGTTGAAGTCTGAGAACACCAGCAGCATCTTTGTTTGATTTGTACATTTTTATTTTTTTTTTCTCAGTAACAGCTTCTCGACAGCTACACATCCTTTCAGACTCATAGTGGAAGGATGCACAGAAACACCTGTGGATTTTTTCAGATCTGAAGTAAGAGTGGAGCTTGATTTTTTTTCGTATCTATTAAAGATGAAAGCTTTTAATACTATTTGTGTGATGGTGACAGTTTTGTTTGCCTACCACACCTTGCACGATTGTTAGGAGACCCATTTTTTCTGTATCTTAATTTTTTTTTCACTTCCACTTTTGGAACCTTTTGTTTCTCACTTTTCCTTTGAATTTCCCGTTTCTTATGCAAGTGCTGTACCTTATTTCTATTGCCTACTCAAAATACTTCACACTCACTTGCAAGCTATCCTCCTGCATGCACACACAAAAACTTCTATTTCTATATCAAAGCAAACTTTACAGAACACAAACAGAAGCACAGAAATACACACATACAACCTCCCTCATTGTACCTACCTTCACTGCCTGCTATGAGTGTACAGTCTGACGCTACGCTCAGCGTTCGTGACTCCACAGAGTCGAGGCTCTCCACTGAATCCTCCCTCCTGTAGTTTGGCTGCTGTGAGCTAAACAGGTCCTCCCTGTCAGGGTCCCAGTTCTCTCCGTATCCACTGTCCCTTACACTAGGCTTGGGGCAAGAAGACTCCTCTAGTGCCTACAAGAGGAGAAAGAGATGTCTAACAGCATCACAGCAGTAGTCCTATTACTTTTAAAAAAAGGGCAATTAATATTACTAAACTTAGTTTACTTAGGACTGCAGCTCAGTGGCTGCTGAGAGGTTTTTTTTGTTTTTTGTTTTTTTTAAAACACAATTCCAGTACTTAATACTTAATAGTATTGCACTTACTTGCACTGTAAACAGTCTATATTTTGTATGTAGTCTATATTCTATAAACAGTCTATATTCTGTATTTTCTTGTGAGAGTTTAACAGAATTTAAAAAAGGACACAGTTTTGTATTGTCATGCAAGCTTTAAAGTTCTGTAGTTTGGGAAGAAAAAAAAACTGTACAATTAACTGTATCAGATGACCACAATAAGTCAGTCATACCCAGGTTCACCCACCTTGGACAATGCAACACCCAGCAGTGCTTCAAAAGCTTTGAAGTTGAGCTGTGGTCCACTATAGGAGGGATCTGCTTGGGCCTTCCTTCCCAACCAATATATAGTTATAAGAACCTGGCAATGAGGAACAGATACATAAAGAAGATGTCAACAAGCACAAAATGACTTCACTGTTATTCTCTGTTATTGCCCAATGTTAGCAATACAACTACCGAAAAGCTTACAGGGGTGAATAAATAGAGATAAACTGTACTCACCAATCTTTTCATTTATCTGCATTTAGTTCCGCTATTCCTTACGTTTTAATACAATGATGATGAATTGACATTGCTGTTATTTATAAAGCTGTAAAGCCCAAACTGATCTCTAACCCTCCAGCACCACTTTGTGCGCTCTCTGTGTGTGCGTACGTGTGTGTGAGAGCATGTGGTATGAATGGCTCTGTGTCCCAATGTCCCTTTTGTCTCTTCTCATCCAGAAAACTCTGACCCTCACTGAACACACATACACACACCCCTACCCCTCTATAGCACCACAAGCTCCAAAGAAGCATGTGGACAGTCAGAAATGTAAGATATTACTGAGAGAAATCAGAGAAAACCACCAAAGTCACTTCATCCAAAGTCACATATACAAATTACTGTTGCTGTCTGCACAAAACCTTGTATCTTAATTTTTGTAATTTTTAATATTTTGACATAAATTGAACATACCAGCTGACCTTCTCACTGTGTAAAATGCCACGATGAACTGGCCAATAGATTTGTTTTTCTTCTATAAAGTTACCACTTTGGAGACAGAAGGTATTGATCTAACAGATCCTAATAAAAAGAGCCATCACTCCTAAGCAATTAAGCCATTCAAAGTGATGATGCAAAACAACACGCAAAACAGGAACTTGCTCACAGTCTCCTTCACGCCTCTGTAAGCACAGGACATGACTAGATAAAATCCAAATTCACATACAGCTATTCAAAATTCAAATTCACACACAGCAGGGCTTGTCCTGAAATGAACAACACTTTAAATTTAGGAGGACTATTCAAATCGTTTTTTTAGCTGGTGTCTGGAAAATTAAAGGAATACTGTGGCATTTTTTTACCCAATTTATCTGCCACATCTGTATCGTACTATTAGTTACCACAGACAACAATTTGAGCGCACATACCTGTAGTCAAGCAATAACAGAAACTAGCAATCCCCTGCTTCAGCATCTGCCCATTAGCTTCTATTGTAAGTTAGGTCTATTTAGACTAAACAAATATTTGCCCCCTCGTCACAATCACCTGCATGCTACAAATGAGGCAGAGATTTTAGGTTGAAAAACACTAGATCGTAACTTTGTGTGTAGAAGTGACACATTAAAAAAAAATAAATATAAAAAAAATAATAAAAAAACTTACATTTTTCAGTCTCCTGGTTGTCTCTTCACGCCTGTATGAAAGAGAAGAGAGATCAGTCTGACAGAAGAGGTCTACTCACACGGGCAAAGCAGGTCAGCAGCTTACCATACTGCGAATTTCAGTAACTAAACCCTCCCAATACCACAGGCTGACTGTCATCACTTTAAATGGACGTCAGTTACACTCTCAAGACCATCAACAGTCTAGCAAAACTAAAAAATCACCACATACTTACCTACAAAGCAGGTGGCTACACAACATTAAAACAACACTGGACACATCACATGAGCCACATGTCTGTTTTCAAAGACCAACCAAGGGCTTTCAAAGACAAATACCATCATAAACAACACACCGTAGACAAGGAGATCACACCCTTACTATGTTCATAATCAGTAAAAATCAAGATCGAAAGTACCAGTACTTCCAGGACCTGCTGTTCTCCTAATAATTTATAATATTTAATACTTATATAAAGTATCGTATGAATGCACATACATATTATTTGGTTGCGCTGTAAAAGCTATAAAAGCATGCGAGTGAAAGTCAGTTAAAAATAGCTGCTCAACAGACAGATCCTCTATAGCATGCAGCCTTAAGGAGGAGTGACCTACTGCAGCTAAATTTGGAAGTCATGCTGTGCACACAACCCCCCACCCCAAACACTGCCTAACACACACACATATAAACACCATCCATTACTGCAAAATCAAGCTTTCAGCAAAACTACAGAACACAATTTATTGCTCGAAAAAGTTGCAGCAGGACACCATAAGGATTTACAACATGGATCATCATGCAAACTGACAACTAGAATGTAAAGCATTACTCATGAAAAGTACATCATTAACACGTTCTGCCTCGGCAGAATCCAACTTTCCTTCAAAATTATATTGTAATCTCTTTGCCTTTTTTTGGCCGGGGGGGGGGCAAGGAATACCCCCTTAAGAACAATACCTATTTACTTTAATGCTGAACCATGTGTGTATAAGTTTAGCTAAACAGGATGATGCATAAAACTACACACATTTAAAAAAACAGAGCAGCAAACAATTGTTTTTAATAAATAAAATAAAAAATAAACACACACACACACACACACACACACACACACACACACACACACACACACAAGAAAATCTATAAAAAGGACAACCCCTTTACCTGGGGCAAGACGCCCTCTTGTGAATCCTGCATCCATTAGTCATTTAGGTTTTTCATAATGTATATATTATATTTTATATTTTAAAATGAGGCCTCTGTGAACTTATATATCTTAATGATTTGTTTTCATTTAATAAATGTGGGTGTGTATTACTTAAAATATATTATCCTATTAATTACAGGATGATATTACATAAACAAATAAATGGTAGCATTATTACAAACTCATCTGCAGCAAGATGGCTAAAAAAGCTGTGCTATAGCTAGCATGTAATGCTAAAGCTAGCTAGTCAGTAAAACTCTAGTCAACAACTTTGTGTCATGGTGAAAATGTAACTACATTTTTGGGGCATTATGCTAAAAGATGCTTTTTGCCCCATGTCTCATGGGACTTTATACCCCAATTCATACTCCAATTATCCTTACTTTTCTTATACAACTTTACAATGTAAAGGCAAAGCTCACCATTTTCCAAAAGCAAAAAAAATAGATCAACTGACCCTAAAAAGTGTCCAGGTACTACTCTCTTGCACAGGTTTACTTTTTATGACCATGTTTGAATGGTTACATTTATAATTCTGGTATTCTTTCTAAGCAAAGCTTTTTCATTATCTCCTCTTAAACTGGTACCCTCTAACTGCTGACTTGGTTTAACTCCTCAGCTCCAAGTCCACCTGTTTGCCCCATTGTGGGGGAGGAACTGGTCATAGTCATTCTCCATTTTAACCACAGTTTAAATTAGTTTCATTTTTCTGTGGTCAGACCAGTTGTTAGATGTATGTCACTGATTTTGACCAATTTAACAACAGGTCATAAGTCACAGGGTCATCCAGTAACATCCTGTCACATCCATAAAAGCATATAAGCAGAAATGTGACCACTTCCTTATATGGTGGTGATTTATCGTTTGGGTTTTACACTAGCTAGTGTGGATACAGTATTTGCATAATACAGTCCTGCCAGCTCATGTACGAATGATGCTGCCAGCCAACAGTACTCAAATGAGGCCTCTTCCTGCACAGACGAGGTAGAAGTATGACCTTTGTTTTAACTTTGCATGGAACAACTTTCATTGTGAATTGGTGAGAGTAATCTTCACTAGGGGTGGTTGATATGGCAAAAATATTGCATCAAATATTAAACTTTTTTTTTCCTGAACAATACATGATATATATAACAATATCTTGACATAGACAACGTACGCATTGTGCCACATTTAAAAACTGCAACATTTCACATGCTACATTGCACTATATCCAAACAGGACCAATTCCGCTCACTTTTTAATGAAACAGGCAGTCTGTGCAGAAAACCATACTGTGCATCATAATAATACAATGCATCACTATGATTAAAAAATGGTCATACTGCCCATTTCTAATCTTCACTTCCCACAGAGTTAAAAAAGCATATCATCTCCAAAACTATAACTTCACATGAGAAGGTGAAAACGTTCCTAAACTATGGCGTTCATGTAAAAGTCATCTTGGACCATTTCTATTGGTCTATTCTTCATGAAAATTATAAAGCATGTAAAGGACAGCTGCCGTGTTCAAAAGATACAGAAAAATAAAAAGCACCTCCGTGTTTTTTGTTTTTTTTTTTGGGACAGCAACATTATGCTACTTAACTGTTACCATTATCGTGATAAATCACAGTGCGTAATTTTCTGTGACTTTTTGGCTTACCTGACTGTGACACGAGTGGAGACATCCTGCAAGTCTCCCGGATGAAAGAGCTGAGAGTCGTTCAGCCCAAGTTTCCCACAGGCCTTCAGGAACACATTCACATTGTCCTGCAGAAACCAAACTGGCAACAATTAAATGCTGCTTACCACACGAATGAACAGCAGAGAAGAAGACCAGCAGAGAAGATGATCAATAGAGGATGTACGGTTGGGTTTAGCCTGTAAGTACAATGAGATTATAGTGTGGGGTAGATAGATATGAAAATTTGAAAGGAGAGGCTGTGTGAGTGTGAACGTTCGACATGTCCTGAGGAAGGCAGAGGAGGTAAAGGTTATAGAAAGAAAATAAATAATAATAATAATAATAATAATAATAATAATAAATTATAATAAATGTATACAATTTCCACTTTACCCCTAAACAGAAAGTCAATCAAGAGATGTTTGGTGTCCGAAATGTGCTTCAAGGCTAATGTGGCTAACAATTAATAAACCTTATGCCCCCCAGTTAGCACTGTGCAAACTATGTTGAGTTGTTAAGTAACCTCAAATAGACTTGTGGTTTCTGACACTGTATGACATACTTTTTATGAATAAAAAGTATATGACTGGAGTAGATATTAGTCACCTAAGTTTCTCTCAGACACGTCTTGGCTGATCAACCACATTTGCAGAAAACGGTGTACATTTGAATTTCTAGAGTTGAACTACTGCTTTTAGTCCTAACTTGTTACAGAGAGGAAGAAAAGATAGCACTGACCTGCAAGCAAAACTTTATGCAAATATGCCATTTCTATTCCTACTTGAACAAAGATGACTAGAATGGCTGCTCAACCACGTCTCTCTGCTCTTAATAAACAGTAACTTATGTGAATGTGTAAATATTTTTTTTTTTTATTTAAACCAAATTATATCATACTCACCAAGCCTGCAATTGGTGTAGAAAGCCTGTTCACTCTTTTGATGATCCCTGGCTTGAGCTTGTTGATCAGACTGCACCAGAAGTGAACAGAGAGAAGAATAGGAACATAAATATCATAACATAAAACATAAAATATGTGTCACAACAGCCCATTTTATTATTTTTAAGTTGTTTTTTCAGTAGATTTTGGTCTTCAAAACAACAAACTTGAAATAAAAGTAGTTACTCTGTGAGAGGGAGGAAAAAATGCTAAACAAGAAAGGGCATAGGTTCAAATGTTCTTCAAAAGGTTTCTGGTTGATTATATATACACATTACTACTTGTTAGGGCTGCACAAAGGACCATTTCTTAATAGTTATCACAACACTGGCTTTCCTAACACTTCATCGCAGAAGGCTACAATATGCAAATGAGTCCTCTAACCAATGAGCAAATTTTTTACTGTACACTATGAACATTTTGACCAATCACAGTCTCAGATAAGTCTTTCTGTGGGCGTTCTGATAGATCAAAGGGCTTACATGACCGTCATTCATATACTTGTGAAATTTGAAACGTGAAATTTACTACTAGCTTAACTTGGATCCACTAGTTAACATTGTTGCTGTAACAAAAACACCCCCCCCCCGCCTTTTGTGAGAGCTTGTCTCACTTCACAGCACTCTGTCTCCATTTTGCAGTGACACATTATATGAAGTAGGCTGTCCAATTGTACAACGCACAATAATATTAGAATCATAACATCAGCAGATTACAAAAATTACTGTTATTAGATATGTTTAGATACGACCAATTTTTCCAAACAATATGACTGTTATTGCACTCCAGAGGGGCAAAATGTTTAGGTGACACTTGGCGACTGTTCTAAAATTTCTGTATTTTATTAGCTTCACTGCATTCATAACCCAATAACAATAAATGTTATTTCTCCTTAATGCTAGTCCACATAGATGTAGTCATTTGCCATGTTGCCTAATTACTTTGTACCACTGAGTATGTGTGTATAACATAGGCTCAACTCCATACAAGACAACTCTAGTGCTAAGTGGCTAAGGTTAGCCTGGTATCCTAATATCACCCAAGATAGCTGTGCCATGTCACTAATTTATTCGGTCCCCCTCTGTCTAACTGATTTTGCCGCCAAGTCATTTTCACGTCAGGTAGGTAATACTATGATCTCAGCACGTAGCATTATAACCAAATATGAAATTTCACTCATATCATGCAGCCCTATTACTTGTGTATTGTTGGCCTAACAAGAACATATGATCTTGAATTTTTACTCCCTCATTAACGGGGTTAAAAAGTCAAACACACTCACTCGCATAATAAGACTCCATTCTCCAGAGCAGATCGGAAGTTACCACTCCCAAACCTTTTCCTGGTCACTTCCTGTTTTGAAAAGAAAACAGTAAAACAATAGCAATAAGATAACAAAACACAAAACAAGACACTGAGACAGAACACAGATCCTTGTTAAACATCCACTGAACCCTAAGAACAGAAATTGGGCCCCCCTCCTCCTGTGACACACACGCACACACACACATACATATAAAATTAATTGAGATTCCCTCAGAAATGATTCGCTTATGAGTAAATAGGTGGAACGAAAGTGCTCATTAACGGAAAGAAGATTATACCTTCTCAACAAGTACTTTTTAAACTGCATTGACATTACTTCCCCTCATTAACCACCCCAATAACCACCCAAAGGTAGACACTTAATGTCAGATTGATAATAATCATTACCATTAGGCAACAGACCAATGGGTTTACTTAAGTTGTATGTTAGCTTACCCCTGCACCATCTCCAGCCTCCATATAACATATAACAGGTATTTGGATGCCTACTGACTTTTGGTTTGTCTTATATATAATTTATTCAGTTCAGTTAGTTATTGCAATTTTAGCATTTGCAATACTGATATAGCAAAAGGGCTGCAATCGGTTGTAAACATTCATAGCTTTATGAAAGGTCATGTAAAGAGATTTATTCCAAGTGAGTTTAGAGCGTTTCTATTTGTTCATTATAAATGCACTTTCATTTTCACATAATGAACATTTATTACATTAACTGTCACAAGATGTAAAGGACAGTCACTGTGTTCCAATTTATGCAGAAAAATAACACTGTCGACAAAAATGGAGATGATTTCTGGACAGTGATGATATGCAAATAAGCCCTGTAACCAAGCACAAATAAGGGTGTGCTAAATGATTTTAGAATTTTATTTGTGTTCGCAGAGAATGAATGAATAAATGGATGGATAAATGAATGGATGGATGGAAGGATGGATATATTTCAAACCCATAGCTGACGATGTATTTATTGTACTTTGGAAGAGCAGAACATTTAGGTAACACTGGGGTACTAAGCTAACATGTTTGCATTGTAATCATTTTACTACATTTTTTACCACAACTTTAACATTGAAAGATATGTACATGAAACACACACACACACACACACACACACACACACACACCAGCCCACAGTTTCCATATCCGTGCATACCTCAGCTAAGTTTTTTTTTTTGCATGATAAGAGCATCCTGACCACTTGAGTGAGGTTTCTTTGGGCGAATCAATTAATTTAGACAATCCAACAAATATAAATAATTTGGATAAAGCTACTGCAGGCCTGCAATGTCACATCAAAAGTTCACAAGTGTGTTGAAAACTACTGCAGAAGAAACTCCGCTATGCACAACAACTAATGACACTCCAGCTACCCTTTCCTAAAGAGCATCACCAAAACATCCAAGTGCAGCACGACTACACACATTGACAGTAGCAAAGACTTCATATCCATCAACATCAACTGATCTGGACCATTTTATCAAACCCACCATTCAAGCTCTGCTGAAATTAACCAATGTACATTCAGCTAAAGACCACAAACGGCCCCAATTCATAATAACACACAAACAACACCCCCTCCACTCCACCACAAATGTGTAGTGTTTGAAAAGGTACCCAACCACGCAGTCATTTGACCCTTAGTCACACGGTGCACTAGGCATTAGCACATTAGGCACACAAGGAGCCCTGCTGCGGGATGCGGCTCTGAGGGCCTTTGTGCTCAGATTGAGGTGCACTGAGGCATCCATGCCCAGTGCATGCCCGCATCTTGTGCCCTCTCGCATTAGCTTGTTTGAGCACATGGAATGCAGCCCTGTTAATGACCAGCTCTCCACAACCAGGAGGTGGTCAAGCTCAAAAGAGGCACTATGATGAGAGCAATAAAAGGGTTTTCTGAAATAGTGAAAGGACAGTGTACAAGGACAGTGTGCAACAGGCTATTGTGTGTGTATATTGTAAGAAAAAGCCATAGCAAAAGTATTTCATAGTACCTCTAAGTGAATTATCTTGATTACTACACAAGTTTGCAAGTGCACTGCAAAATAAGCCAGGTAAACCAACTAGGATATTTGTGATCCAAGTGATCATAATGATATGGTGCATTTTAACTTGCCAATGCAGCACAGCAAGCTAAGACATGCCTAAAATAATCGTGAAAGTAGAGATAAAGGAAACAGCATCACTTCTATGCAGGAAATGGTGGTTTAGGCCATACCAACACTTCAACACATCCTGCTCTGGTTACTACAGAAACATAAATATCATCATTTGATGTTAACTTAACGCATTTGTTCAAGTTACGTAAATTAAAACAAGCTGCATACTGCATGCTCTTACCACAAAAGCCAACAAGAAGTAATAAACCTCAGATAGTACAGAATATTTTGGGTTTAAACAGGAAATGAGGGCTTTACTTAAGCCCAAATGCATTACGTCATTATTCAAAGCGATTAGAATTACCACACGGCTATAAAACCATAAAACACTGCACAAACTCACTGCAGCCGTTTGTGCACATATTTGTCCAGTGATGTGCTATCAGAACTCCGCCACAAAGCAAATGTTTGGTCAAGACATTAAAGCATAAGTGACCACATTCATCACTAAAGATCTCATTCCTTACCTCCACTTTGTATGTTCATATTGTTTTACATGGACATCACATAAGACCACAGGTGACGTACAAAACCTGCATTGACTACCATTATGTAAATACATAACAGCTTTGACAGAAAGTGGTCAGTGGGATCTTAAGGACCCTCTTCCCTGAACAATTTCAGGTTTCATTTCTGCCCCATTACAGCTAATCCAGTTCCTCAGCCAGTGAGCAAGCTCTTCATGAGCTGGACGGACTGGACTTCAGGAACCACTAAAATCTCACTTACCTCCACCCAGCGCTGAGCCTCAGCAAAGGCCACCTCACAGCTGAGAGTTGACTGCTCCCTCCACTCCATCTCCAAACGCTTTCCAGTCCCTGTGGAGTATAAGTGGGAATTCCAACAATTCTCCATAATTCAGTGATTGAGGTATAAACAAAGTCATTCAAGTTGATGTAAATTTGTATAACATACAGAGACATTTAGACATCTTTACAGTGGCGGTGATAGGAACCAGGGGTTCTGATGTCCCCAACACAAATATAACCTTTTTATTTACTATCCGAAACCACCAGTGAACCTACACATGTCTCCTGAGCTTCAAGATGTAATGTTAACAATGTTGAAACAGTGGAAAACCTGAAAATTTTGTTTTCTTTGGGGACCATTTTGCCTCACAGCTGTATCTACACCATGAACACAGCTTAAAAACACATTTTAGGCCAAGAGCTTATCTCAAAAGTTTCACAATACAATGTCTGAGACATCAGGCAACACATTCACAACCACTGGGTGTAATAGCTTTCAGAGAGGAAGCTTTTAGAGATATGAAACACTTCAGCTGTCTGGTTCCTATCACCACCACTGTGGAAAAACAAAAACAAAAAAAAATCTTACTCTGTTCTCTAGAAACGAACATTTCACATCAAACCACTCTGTCTCTGACTTTGTTTACATCTTAATGACTGAAATATGAAGAAAAGCTGGAAGACCTGTGGAATTTCTCTTTAAGAAAGCTTTGGTTTCTGAAAGTAAGTAACTGATTCATTTCCTTCCCCTTGCATTAGCACGGTACTCTGTACCTGTAAACAACAACGAATGTTACCAAATTTAGTCTCGCATTCACGACAAATTCAGCCCACCGCTGCTGTCTGGACAGCAGGACACTAAACGGTCCAACTCTACGACACATATAAACGTATATTTAAATTACTCTGTTTTTAGGACTGATATTTTCGTCTGAAATCACCCCTCCGACTTTCACTCGAACGCTGTAGTAAACAGTGAGGCGCGCGCATCTCGCCTCGAGGAGCACCTTGATTTTGCCGCCAACGCACCTGATTCACCTCTCCTGCTCCTGGTCCAGTCCTGCCGAAGTGTCAGCAAAGTGCACAGTCCACCTTCCCCGTGAGCCGAAAACGCGAGTACAAGAAGTGTCGCTTAGAAGTGATCGATATAAACGCTGGCAGCAGCAACAGGACGGCAGGTGGGGTTTGAATCTCCTGCCAGAGTGAAGATGTTTTAATACACAGGTCACGCCCTCTAGTGACAAGGTCTAACCAGGGACTATTTTAATTGAGTATGTACCACCGAGATCTACCAGAAGATGGCGCCAAATACGAATTTTAAAACATGTTGGGCCAATGTCGACAAAAACACAGCCACGCAGGAAAAGATTGCCACAGCCCGGATAGGCTGCACCATGAAAACGACCTCATGAGGTAGGATGCGTGTTCAGCTGCAAGCAGATTCACTCACACTTTGAGTTCCTGAACTCAAATATTGCCAACTAGATAAACAGTGTTTAGCTGAGCATTAGCCAAAGTTGCCTCTTGAAGCCAACCACTTTTGCTAATATCTCTGCTGTAGGCTGAACGATTTGGGAAAAATGTCTGCAGAATAGCAGAATATTCATTTTTATCTGGTGTGATGTCACAACACGTTTGCTTGCCTCTGATTGGTCTAACTCTTCTCCAGGCAGTTCACAAGCTCTGTGTTATTAGGTTTAATTTTCCCTCTTAAAACATAAAACAAAATTTTTGACAATGTAGGCAAAATGCAGTTTTGGCGATTTGAAAGTTGGAGTCTCTTTATCTGACATGTCACATACTGTGCTGCACTAAATCCAGTTAAACAGAAGCAACTGTGCTTTCTTTGTAATGGAACATACAGTCGATCAGTGTTGTTTAAGTGTGGACGATAGCATATTGCATATTGTTTATTATGACAACAAAATTTACATAGTCATTTATTGTCAATTATCATACTGCTCACCTCTAGGTGTAACTTGGCTCTTGGGCCCCTATCCATACAAAAATTACTTTCAAATAATAAAAAAGCTGTCAAGGCATGCCAGTCCACCCACTAGCATCTAATGTGATTCTAGCTTTATGATGAATATATATACAATTATATATATACACATATAAAATATATAAAATATAATACAATATAATATATACAATTTAGCTACTTTTCCAGAAAAAGTAGTGGCTACTTTTTAGCTACTTTTTGAAAAGTAGTGCACTACTTTTTAGCTACTTTCAAAGCGTGATTGTCAGAATGTTTGTGAATCTCCACCTGACACACCAAACAAGCCCAACTGAAAGTGTGAACAAGACACTGCATTTAATCAGGTGCCAGAAAGAAACATATAACTCAAAAGCTGCAAATATACAAAAAGAAATTTAAGTGTAACCAACAATCAAACTTGCTCAACCAAATGTGTGATATCCAACAAAAATGTAGACTAAGTAAAAGCAAAGTCAATCATTCCAGGTTTTTCCTAATACAAATAAGCAAAAATAACCGAATACAAACGAAACGGTTTTGTGCAAAGCATTGTCAACTGTTGAAATAAAACTGCTCCAATTATAACATTTCAGCAAGATATTTACAGACATGACATTCAGAGTGTTGTTAAACTTCAGCAACACTTTAGCCTCATAATTCTCATCAGTGACTCTGGCTCTGGTTTGGAGTGAGAATCAGGCCTGAATAATCTCTGCACTGTTGCAGAGCTGTTGCGGCTCCACAGCAGAACTAGATTTTTAGGTAAAAAACATTTGCTGTAAAATCATTATAACACACAGTTCCAACACAGTTTTCACAATAATTGGTCTTAAACACTGAAGTTAATGCATAACTGCTAATTCACCAACCTTTAACGCTGAAGACTGATGCGCAGACTGCTGGACACACAGCAATGCAGACAACGAAAAAGCAAAGAGAGAGATTTAAGACGAACGTCGATAATTTGGAGATGAATGGACTTATTGGCATTTATAAGCGTTCAGCTGGTTTCCTCATCTGCAACAAGTCGCGAGGCTGAAGTCAGCTTCTCATACTCCAGCTTCTCGTCTGAATTGTCCTGTTCCACCATAATCGCCACCAGCCCAGTTAACTACCGCATTCTATGGCACAGATTTTGCACAGAATGTGCACAAATGTTGTTAACTATCCCCCATACTTGTGTGTGTGTATATATATATATATATATATATATATATATTGGCCTTCAAAGAAGAGGCTTAATGATTTCTATGAAAAAAATATGCATGTATGTAATTTAGTTCACTTTAATTTAATAAAATTGTGAGACAGTAATTTTAATTTTAATTTTATAAGTATTCTCACATTATTGCCTTCTGTGTATTAGGGACTTTTAGTTTGGCACAGAGGGGGTAGAGTGTGTAAGGCAGTGGTTGAGTAGGGTGATTGACACCTTCCTGTGCTCTGTGTTTAATGTGATTGTTTTTGCCCATTAAAAAGTTAGTGGTCGAGTCCAACTCTTCTCTGCTGAGTTTCTGTAAGATTGTTATTACATGAAGACCTCGACCACCTACAGTTCCCACGCCTGACATATTTATTGTTGGCTATGGCAGTTTTGCTGTGCTTTGGGCATTCTTTTAGAGTTTTCAGTTCCAAGGACTGTGTGAATTGTATCTGCACTGACTATCTTTATAACCTTTGGGTGTTTTTTTATGTTTTCAGAGCACTATTAGTCAGTTTTTACTGATGTTTCAGCTGCACTTGATGGTGTGTCTGCTAGCTGTCATCCAGTGCTTAACACCACGTTGCATTGCTAAGCCACAGCAACACCCTGTGGCACATTTTGCGCGAAGGACTGCTTGAACTCTGTTTCTGTGGACAAAACTGTGCAATAGTACAGCCACATAAAGCATGTAGCAGCACTTACCTCAGTAAATTTTGGACAAAACCTATTTGCAGACTCCATAAGTGTCCTGAAGGCAAGGATGGACATAAGATGTACAACACAAAAAATAATCCTTTTGCATTGAGATCAGGATTTTTGGACATGTCTGAGGATGCAGTGATGACCTATTCTGTGCATTTCAAAGCTGTTTTGCCACCAGATTTCACTGAAGATGGCCGTGAAAGTTTCTCTCATTGGGTAATTAGACATCTCAGGCTCATTGTCTGTGTCACTGCACCTTGGTACTCACATTTTCAGTGTAGACATGTATGTCGTTAGGGACTCTAGACAGGACACTTTTTCAGGACACATTGTGCATTAGTTGACACAGCCTCAGGTGCCTTTGTGTTTCGGCATGAAAGGATTCCCCTACTTAGCTCTTCTCAAGCACTGCCCTTTTGCTGCAGTGTGTCCCTGCTGTAGCCAGCCTCAGTGGCAATTGTGGTGCCTTCCTTGGTTCCCCTGTCCTAGTGATATTGGAGGTCAGCTCCATGGATTCCAAGGCATTTTTGAACTCAATGTGCCCTTTGATAAGGCCTTAGCTATTGCAGTTAGTTTCTCTATGGTTGAGAATGGCCTCACTGTAGTTCATTTACCTAACCCAACTCACAGAGATGTTGAGCTACCCAAAAACACCCACATAGGTTAGTTCTACTTAGTGCGTGAAATGCCATCTGATCTTTTTGTGTCAGGTGAATGCTCTATACCTCATATTAGTCTGTCATCTCCCATGTGCAGCTTGCCCAACATCCACATTAAGAGACATGTTTTTATTTCCAATGAACTGAAACAAGTAGAATCTCTACTACAGGCCTATTAAGATGTTTTCAGCACTAGCCCTACTGAGCTAGGTAGAACAGATCTGATTAAGCACAGAATAAGTACTTCCTCCACATCCCCAGTGCACTAAAGAGCTTATTGTGCATCCCCCATAGTCAGGGATAAAATCAACATGCAAGTCCAAAAACTTCTTGATGCAGACTTTATTGAGCCTAGCTATAGTCCATGGGCCTCTCCTGTTATATAAGTCCATAAAAAAGATGGCTCATACAGATTTTGTGTTGATTACAGACGTTTGAATTCTGTCACAGTCAAAGATTCACATCCCTTGCCGTGTGTAGACAATAGCCTGGATGCCCTCTCTGGAGCCACCTGGTCAGTACATTAGACATGTCAAGTGGCTATTGGCAAACTGAAATGGAGGAATCTGATAAAGGCTAAACAGTGTTCACAACAGTCTGCATTGGTCTAAAACTCTAGTGTACTTAGATGACATTATTGTCTTCAGTACGATTTTCAAAGATAACCTCATACACAGACTGACCAATGTAAAAGGCTTTTCAGTACTTTCGCCTTGCTCTCTTGTCCCCTCCTATTCTCACCCCCACTTTATACTCTATAATGACGCATCTCGTAACGTAATTGTTTATGTCCTTCACCAAAAGTAGCATGTAGTCAAGGAGCTTTATTCCAGATTAGGTGTGACAAAATCCAGGACCTCTGCTTATCATCCAGAGGGGTATGGTTTAATCGAAAGATTTAATCGCACCTTAAAGGATCAACTTGCCAAGTGTATGTATCAGCAAAATGAACCATGGGAATATTGCACTCCATCCAGCTTTCGTACAACACTAGCATTCACACCAGCACTTAATGCACTGCCTTTTTTCTTGTACATGATCGAGAAGCAAAGTTGCCAGTTCATCCATTCTTTTCTGCCTCTATTGAGGGCATGTGCTTCCCCTGGCACCCCAGCAGAGTATGCTAGATCTGTCTGCAGGAAACTGCAGATCACCGTCAAGTCAAGTCAAGAACACTCATGCTCAACCAAAAGCCCAGTATGACAAAAAGGTGAAATACAAAGCTTATAAGGTCAGAGATTTTGTGTGGCAGAATGATTCTGCATATTCCAGGTGTAAACTAGCAGCAGGCTGAAAAGGACCTTATGTTGTCACAAGCAATCCAGCCAGCTGATGGCCATGGCATACTTTATGCCATTCAACAAAAGGACTCCTCAGATGGTGGTACACAAATTGTGCACCATAACCACCTTAAACCGTACTTGACACCTTGGCACCTCATTTCCCTCCACAGTGGACTGCAGGGGAAGTACCCCACCATGCTCCTTCAGGCTTACCTGGACCAGTCACTTCAGTTGACTTACCATGAGTTGTTTTTGCTTGTGGTAGACAGCATTGTGGTCCAGCCTAGAGGCTGGTTCAAGCCATCCCTCCCCACAAAAACTGCTAAGTGTTGGGTCATGTTTACCACTGTGCTGCA